GAGGAATCGCTTTGTCTACTCACGCTTACTCCTGCGGTCCCTGCTGTCCTCTGTCTTGCTGCGTGTGGTCTGCTCCTCCTCCGCGTTGCTGCACCTGCTGCGGGTCTCGTGCTGTGGTCCGTGGGTCTTTGCCGCTCTCCTCCTTTGCGGGCTCTTTCTGCGGGTTCGCCGCTGCTCGTCTCGTCGCGGCCTGCTGCTGCATACGGCCGGTCTGGACCGGTGCGGTGGGAGCTGTGCGCATCCCTGCCTCCTCGTGCCGGTACGGCGTGGTCCCGTTGTGTTGTCCCTTGTCTTCTGGCGTTGTGGGTAAGTATGCGGACGGTTTATTCCCCTCGCATTGTACTGCAGGCTCAGTTCGCCCCGCGCTTTGTACTGCAGGCTCAGTCGGCCCCGTGCATTGGCGGGCAAGCTTCAGTTTAAAGCCCTCGCATTGTTCTGCAGGCTCTCTTAACCAAGCTCCGTTTAAATCCTTCACTCTGACTGCAAGCTCCGTTTATTCCTCACATTGGACTGCAAGACCTCAGTTTAATCCCTCACATTGGACTGCGTGCTCTCAGTTTTAATCCCTCACTTTGGCCTGCAGGCTCTCTTTAAATCCCTCTCTGGACTGCGAGCTCTGTTTAAATCCCTCTCTTTGGACTGCAAGCCCCGTTTAAATCCCTCTGGACTGCGGCTCCCAAATTGAATCCCTCACATTGGACTGCGAGCTCTCAGGTTAATCCCTCACGGAACTGCTTATATCTGGAACTGCTTATATCTGGAGCTGTTATACCGTACCTGGAACTGCTTCATGCGGAACTGCTTATATATGGAACTGCTATATATGGAACTGCTATATATGGAACTGCTTATATATGGAACGGCTTGTATACGGAACTGCTTATATGGAACTGCTCATATTGGAACTGCATATATGGTACTGCTTATATCTGGAACGCTTATATATAAAAATAAATAAATATAAATAAATATAAATATGAACAAATATAAATATAAATAAATATAAATATAAATAAATATAAATAAATATAAATAAATAAATACAAAATAAAAAACTGCAGGCTCTGTTGGATCCCTCACACTGGACTGTAAGCTTTCAGTTTAAACTCCTCACTTGGACTGCGGGTTCAGTTAATCCCCCACTTGGACCGTAAAACCTGTTTAAATCCCTCACACTGGACTGCAGCTCTCGGTTTAATCCCTCACTTGGACTTCAAGCTCTCAGTTATAAATCCCTCTTTTAGGACTGCGGGCAATGTTGAATCCCTCACTCTGGACTACAAGCTCTCAGTTTAATCCCTCACCTCGGACTACAGGTCGTTTAACTCCCTCGCACCGGACTGCAGGCTCTCCGTTAAACGCCTCACTTGGACTGCGGGCTCAGTTTTAATACCTCACTTTGGACTGCAAGCTCTATTTAAATCCCTCACATTAGACTGCAGGCTCTGTTTAGGTCCCTCGGCGTCTCGTGTCCCGCAACCTCTTCCCGGCTCTCCGGGAGCCCCAAGTCGGCACGCGGCTCGGGCGCGGGAGGTGTCCGTGGGCTACGTCATTGGCCCCTTCTCTCCGTCTCGCTCTAACCCGATGGGCATCGCCACCCGCAAGCACTCCAGGAAGAAGCGTCTCATACTCGTCCTCTCCTGTCCCCGCTCCGGGCCCGCCCGAGCATCAACAGCCCCTTCCCTCCAGCGCCCTTCTCCCTGCAGTCCGCTACCGTGGACCACGCGATCAGGCTGATAAAGACTTTCGGCCCCGGCTCCTGGCTCTCCAAGGCCGTCATCCCGGTCGCGTTCAAGCTGCTGCCATCCACCCCGACCACTGGCGCTGTTCAGGGGTCAAAGTGGCGTCGGAGTTCTTCTTCGCAGTGCGCCTCACCTTTGACTGCCAGAGTAGTCCCTCTCGTTCAACAATCTCTCGGAGGCGCCGTGTCGGATTCTGCTTAATTACGCGCGGCTCCCCTCTGTCTGCATCTCCCCGATGATTCCCTCATAGTCGACCCACCCTCAGACTGCTCCGGGGGCTCTCTCCGCAAGCTCAGGCCCGCCTTCTCTGCCCTCGGATTCCTCCACTCCGAAAAGACCACAGGCCCCGCCAACACTCTGGAGTTTCTCGGCATCCGCCTCGACACACGCGCCATGGAGGCCTCCCTCCCGCTGGACAAGCTCGAACGCATCCGCGCTTTCTCCCGGTCTGCCTTGGCCTTCCCGTCACTTCGAGGCGTCCTTGCTCTCCCTCCTCGGGCATCTTCATTATGCCGTCTGTATCATTCCCCAAGGTCGTTCTTTTAATTCCAGACTCCTCTCCCTCGCCGGCTCCGTCTCCTCCCTCGATGACACTGTCTGCCCGGACGCGGGGCGCCGCTCCGACCTGGCGTTCCGGTCCCGTCTGCAGAGCCGCTGGGGTGGTGTATCTCTTTTTTTTACAGTGACATCATCCTGTCTTAGATGCCCCGCGGTTCTTCACGGACGCAGCCCCGTCCGTGGGTTTTGGGGGTTTTTCCAGGACCAGTGGCTCGCCGGGCCCCGGCCCGACGCTTTCCCTCGAAGCATCTCCTCCGCGCTCCACGAGATATATCCCGTGACCGTAGCCTGCGTGCTGCGGAACCATACGTGGCATAGGAAAAGGATTTCCGTGACGTGCGACAACCTCGACGTCATTGAAATAATTAACAGAGGTTGTTCATCCTCTCCCCAAATCACATCCTCCTTAGACGCATCACATGGCTCTCAGTCTCGAACAATTTATCATCACTGTTCGTCACGTCCCTCGTCACCTAACTGTATTGCTGACTCTCTCTCTCGCTTTAAATTCCAGGAGTTCTGACGCCTCTGCCCTTCTGCCAATCCATCGCCATGCCAGATCCCCATGCACGGAATCCCTCGCCCTGGCCTAGTCCCTCCGTCTTTTCACCTTCTCTCCTCCGCTGCATCCTACATGAAAATGGGCTTCTTACGCATAAGCGAATTCACAAACTCTCACGCCACCTTTAATGCATCCCGAGACATTGCCTTCTCTGACCTGTCATATTATCCCGACTACTTCAACCTCCACCTCAAGCATTCCAAACGCAAAGGCGCTTGCAATATAGTCATAGCTCGGTCTGACACTTCTCCCTGTCCCTACAGATCCATGATGCATTACACTCGCCTCCGCTCTCGGAAAGGAGATCTCAACTGACCGTTATTTCTCACCCCCGATCACCTCCCAATGACATCTAACTGGTTCAGGGCCCAACTAAAGTCCGTACTGCTGCTTTGTAACCTGTCTCCCCATCTCTACACAGCTCACTCCTTCCGGATAGGCGCCGCCACGCGCGCCGCGTCCCTAGGACTCCCCCATTCTGCCCTCCAGCAGCTGGGCCGCTGGTCATCATCGGCCCTCTCCTCATACATCAGGCCTGACACTTCGACCATTCTGACAGCCCAGCGCCTCTTGGCATCTCCATAAATCACTCACAAAACTTCCTGGTGGCGGCAGCAGCCGAGTATCCGCAAGTATTGATCACAGTAGATAGCGGTCACAGCATATAGCGATAGCGGTCACAGCATATAGCGATAGCGGTCACAGCATAGCAAAAAATGGTTAGCGGTCACAGCATAGCAAAAAATGGTTAGCGGTCACAGCATATAGCAAAAAATGGTTAGCAGCATTGCGCTGGCGGTCACAGCATATAGCGATAGCGGTCACAGCATATAGCGATAGCGGTCACAGTATATAGCGATAGCGGTCACAGCATATAGCGATAGCGGTCACAGCATAGCGATAGCGGTCACAGCTTAGCGATAGCGGTCACAGAATAGAGTAGTCACGACGTCTGTCCCCTCCAAACCAGGCTTCGAAAACTCCATCAACACGCAGCCTTTTTGGGGATTGTGCGCGCTCCATCGCAGGAGCCTTTCCGATCTGAAGGCCGCACCGGGACCTAGGGCGCCAAACCTCCTTTCAATAAAATACTCAAAACTTCCTGTTTTCTCGTCTCTCCAAATTGAAATGCAGCCAGCGAAAATTCAATTTGGTAGACGTTAACCAAAATTACCCCCTCCAGGCCGGCTCGCATCCCCAGCCTATCGCTCAGCAGACGCCCCCTTCCAATCATCTGTACCGACTCGCCAGCCGCATAAAAACGGAAAAACTCCCACTCTCGGCCTCTGAAGCCTTGCAACCACCGCCTCCCCTCCTCCTCCTCTTCACCCTGCCTCCAATCTGCCTTCAATCTGCTTCCCGCTGCCAAATGCCGCCACCAGTGCCTAGGTCCCGGGGGATTGTCCATCGCAGGAGCCTTTTCGATCTGAAGGCCGCACCGGGACCTAGGGCGCCAAACCTCCTTTCAATAAAATACTCAAAACTTCCTGTTTTCTCGTCTCTCCAAATTGAATTATTTTATTCTATTTTATGACCTCCATCCATCCATTTTCTTCCCCTCCATTTCTGGGTAGGGGGGGTGGCAGTCAGAACTGCACCCAGTACACAGAGCACCAGCCCCTCACTGATCCTCCTGCAGGTGGTGAGTCCACAGGAGCTGAGATCTTTCAGTGGGGGCTTCGGGCAAAGTGGGGTTAAGTGTCTTGCCCAAGGACACAACGACAGCAGTCATCAGTGGGAGTCGTGAAGTAGGTCTTATGGTGGGCTTCAACCCACGACCTTCAGGCTCAAAGGCCAATGCTCTACCAACTGAGCTACTGTCGCCCTATTTTATTACCTATTACTTATTATTTTTATTATTATTATCTATTATCTTAAATGATAGATCCTGTTTGATGTGTGCAATCTGAGTGCTCCTATTTCCTTCTTTTATTCTGCTCTAATGTTGTGTTGATAAGAATTATCTTATCTTATGTTACAACTTGTTTGATAAACTATTGTAAATAACTTTGGGGATCTCCAGTTTCACAGGATCCAAACTCCAATTCATGTATTGGTAAAATGTATGCAGTCAGTCTAGGCCTTGAGTTTATAAATAGCCCTACTCCAGTGGTAATGGCATCAGTATTTCTGTTCACCTGCTGATGTCAGGGCTGGGTGTAGACCTCTGCAGTCCCTCCTGCTCTGCGTCTGAAGACCAAATAGGAACAAAACATTAGAGCCGACATCAAGGCACCAGCAGCAGCAGACTGGAACACTACTGTTTATGTAAGTATGAGCACAATATTTTACACTGCCATATTCTGTCCTTCATAATGCCACTGGTAACCATGTACTGGTAGGGAAATTTTCGTTGTGTTAGGAAAGCTCCTTGCATACAAACCCCAAACCATTTGCATATATTTAAAGACAATTGAGTCTTTTGAATTATAATTAAACATTTCTCCTAATCCAACACTTATATGGAGTTCAAATTGGTACAAATGTCTAAATACACCCTCTTCAAACTCTATGATGCCATGGACAAGGCTGCTTTCTGCCTTTTAAAACTAAAGTATGGCATCTTATCTAGTTTGGAAATGTCTCCAGTCACACAGCATTCTTTATAACTGTGTGCCACATGCGTCATAATTCTAATAAAAGTGGACATATAAACTCTTCCACAACTAGATGTTGGTGTTGCACTCCTCAATATCTTTTCTGTATCTAATATACATGATTGTTTAACCATTAATATTCTTCTTAAATAATTCCAAAGTACAATCTTTAAAAAAGACCGCATTTAGAAAACTAAAAAATATGTTATTATAATTATGTAAATAGATATGTGTTTTTAGTCTTTTCACAGATAAGGTCCTGAGTTATATGGCACACATACTGTACGTACCCCTGAGTGTGGTCCCGTCACTGTCCTCAGATCGTCCTGCAGTGCTGGAGTTTCCTAAAATAATCCAAAAAATCACATCACATTGTGCTGCAGTGGGCTTTTGTGCATAGCATTTGAAGAGCGAAGGTGGACTTACGGGAGAGATGCTGTTTGACCGTAGCCTGAATGAAAAGACAAAACTAGTGAAAGACAGATTCAACAGCTAATCTTTATTCAAAGGGTGCTTTCACACCTGTTGGTCCACTAAAGTGGTTCACTTGGGCCCTAAAGTTGTTACAATGTTGCAGTTCTCAACTAGTTTGGTTCTCATTCACACCAGTGTTTTTGCAAATGAACCAACCACTGTGGATGTTACATATTCTGCCACCCATGTGGTGGCGCTGTTCACAAAATACTGTGTATTGGATGATGTATGTGAAACCTGATTGGTGCAGGATGTGAAGAGGGAAGAATACCAGAAGGAAACAAACTTGTCAGATCTTTAACGATGAACTGTGCTACTCTAGTGTGAGGCTATTTTTTTTATCATCGTTGCTTTGTGCAGCACAAATACTGTTGTTCCAGTTCCAGTATGTATCACAGATTCAGCACGAGAACACTCTGCGGTTGTTTTTGGCTATTCTATCATATAAAAAAAACAATGTGTGTGTTAAAAAGTGAGCTACACAACAGAGCAGGGCCATATTGAGGCCGGTCTGCGTTCTCACCAGCAGCAAACCAGACTGGAGTCCGCATGGAACCGTACCGAGACCAGCTCCCTAAGGTGGTCTCGGTACGGTTCTTTAGTCCGGACCAAATTCAACTGGTCCACTTTCACACCTGCTCAAACGAACCGTACTTGCAAGTGTTCCAGACTCCAGTCCGTTTTAAGTGGACTAAATGGTGCAGGTGTGAAAGCACCCAAAGAGACAGCGGTGGAATAAGTGATGACATACATACTTTGTTACTCCAATTTAGTTACTTATCAGCACTTAATATGAGAAAAAGTAGTCAGAACAGGAAATGCATAAATATCTGTACTTTTCAAGTTGAAAAAATTGACATTTGCAGACGACAAAAAGTAAAAACTGACACTTGGTCCAGGATTGTGTGTTGGCCTTGCTTCTAAATCATGCAGGTGTGCTTGCCTGTTGCCGGTGGCCTCTGTTGGGGGGCAGAGTGAGTGCGCCTACTGTGGCCTTCAGCTCTCGGTCCTGGGCGCCTGCACCGCTGTGGTTTCCACTGGTAACGGGTCGGATCTGGATATGGAACTTCTTGGGCTCATCATCATCAATGTCCGAGTCGCTGGAGTAAAAACTTTGGGATTTCTCAAGGGCGCAGCGTGCAGAGAAAGGGTCAAGGAAACCACAACATCAAGCCTTTTTAAGTATACATCACTTGTGCAAACCAGTGCTTTAAGTGGGCCGGGACGTAGCTCTTGAGCGTTCCGCCACCTCTCCGTGTGCAAAGAACGTGCTTTTGCTGTACCGGTACTTCTCACCCTTGCCCTTAAAAAGCACACTTGCCCTAGATTTTGCGCGTGCCCGCGGAGGTTGTAGGGTGTCCCAAAACTTAGGGAGAAGAGGCGAGGGCCTTCACACCCCTAAAAAACCACCCTTGAGCTCAAGTGTGGTCCGGAGCTCACTCGCGAGCGAGGGTGATCCCATGATGCATTACAATAGCTTGTGTGGTGATGTTCGCTCCCGAAGCGGCTGCAGCGTGTGGCATTCACTGAGGCTTCAGAAACGTGGTGCATGTTATTATCATAGATCCATGATGTAGTTCAGAGCATCGCTTTGACAGTTTTCTTTGTGATCCGCGGGACCGCGGCTGTACCCGTCTGTCTCTGTGTGGTACGCTTCTGTGCGTGTACGTACATGTTTTTGTCTCTGTGTGGTACGCGCGTGTGTCTGTCTGTGGTACGTCTCTGTGCGCGTATGTACATGCGTCTGTCAGTGTGCGTGTGTGTCTGCCTCTGTGTGTGTACATGTGTGTCTGTATGCGTCTGTCTCTGAGAGCGTGATGTGCAGCAGTTCTGTACCTAATTATAGAAAATCTTCGTGTCCCAAATCTTACGGAGAATGTTGTGAGTGCACTCACCACTGGAAGGGCACTTTTCTGGTGAGGGCACTGACACCTAAGGGCAAGGGTGAGAATTGGGACGGGGCCTATGTCTGACTGATACGTTCATTTGCACATTTAATACTTCAGATGCTTTTCGAAGCGCCCTTCACATTTAACGCTTGCTACTTAGTCTCACCGAGAGCAGAGACTAAATTACCCATAAGTTTTACGAGCGAAAGGCCCGTGCGTCACTTTTACCGCTGTAAACAACTCAAAGGTGCTCACGGGTGCTGGTCACTGCAGCGAGTGACAAGCGGCTCTCGGGCTCTCCTCACACCGGCCGAGCGCTCAGAGACGCATTGACTACACCAGGGGTCTCCAACCTTTTTCAATCGGAGAGCTACTTTTATACAACAGAAGGGGCAAAGAACTACTCTTTTTTTTAAACCTCTATGTAATAATTATGACAAAACATGGAAAACAGATGTAAAAAATACCATAACACTGTATAACCCTATACTTATAGATATGTAATGACTCAAAAGTGAATCATTCAAGATCCATACATTTTCTTCCCCTTAATACATTTCTGGGTTGAGGGTGGCAGTCAGAGCTGCACCCAGTACACATAGCACCAGCCCCTCACTGATCCTCCTGCAGGTGGTAAGTCCATAGGAGCCTTGATCTATCAGTGGGGACTTCAGGCAAAGTCGGGTTAAGTGTCTTGCCCATGGACACAACGACAGCAGACATCAGTGGGAGTTGTGAAGTAGGTCTTATGGTGGGCTCGAACCCACAACCTAAGACCTACTTCAGGCCTTAAGGCCAATGCTGTACCAACTGAGCCATTGTCATTCAAGATCATGTGTTATCATGTGGGCTGGCAAGCTACTGGTAGCTACCAAGCAACAGGTTGGAGACCCCTGGACTACACTGATGCTCTCACTGTGTGGTCTATGGAGAAGTGTAGAGGACAGTATTGCCTACAGAACCAATGTAGGTCAACACAAATCCTATGTCTGTGTTCTCATGTTCTCTATGGGCTGGTGTCGTCAGACCATAGACAGTAAATATTAAGACGCGAGACTTAATGTAAGAAAAAAACCTTCAGAATCAGTGTCAAACCTGCCAATCCTGCTGGTTAGATACAAGTGCTGTGTGTGTGTGTGTGTGGGTCTAATGTCAACAACCTTTTGTTCAACATTCTTTCTCTACCATTTGGCATTTTTTTTCAGCAGCATATCCCTAAATGAATGTATATAATTGATATATTATTTTCAACAAGGTTGACAATTGTAAATAAAACTTCAGGGAAAAAGAAGTGCCTTCTCTTGCATTTAAAACATGCAAACATTCTCCTGAGCCAACAAAAATAAGTACCGGTGTAATCCGTGTATCATCCGTTCTTTTGATTTTCTAAATAAAACTAACATTTAAAAAACAAATAACGAGGGATGTTTTTGAATCCGTGTAGCCTTTGATCATTAGATCAAAGGGTATTTTATTTAGAATGTTTTGATATTCCAATTTAATTTAGAAAATGGAAATACAAATATTCACCCATTTCTTTGCTATGCAGTGGAAACAAACACTACTAAAACAACTTCCATTATTTTGTTTGATATGCTACCGGAAATGATGAGTGGTGAGAGACACTTAACTACACGACAACAACTCGCGCTGTTGTTGAGCTGGCCAGCCGCGTATAGTGGGCATATCGTGCCAGCCAATCAGAATGAGCCTGTCATTCTGAACAGGCATAGTACTGTATAGCCTTTGTGATGAAGTCCAACCAATCAAAATGCAGGGATATTTACAGACGCGAGTTCGAAACCCGTCTCACCCCAAATAAATCAAACTTATTTTAAAGTTTAAAGTTAATAACTGGGTCTCATTTTGACCTTAATAACAGCCACATTACCTTTCAAGTACATAAATGTAACTATTAGAGAGCTTCTTTGAAATGTAAAACTTGAAATGATCAGTGAATTGACAGTAATATTAACAGCAATGTCATGAAACCTTTTGACCTGCACAAAGTGTGAGTGTTTGAAGATCAGGGGCTTATCCCCAAAGGCCTCACACACAGGTTAAAGGTCACACCTCCTCAGGATGGGAAAAGTGTTGATCAAGGGATTTAGACAAACACACCTGGAATATCCCAGAGGTGAGAACTCTGCAGGGGGTGCTTTGAACAAGTTCAACAATAGCTGCTTTGATCCCACTGACACTGAACTGAAACTCTATTTTCTATACAGATTGTTTTGTTAAATAATACTGTTGTTTGCCCTGAAATATGATCAATAAAAAGAAAGACTTCAATAATGTATGACATTATAATATATTTATTGTGAACAGATGAAAAAAGAGATATTTACAAATTTAAGAAATACACCTAGAAGAAAAACAACAACATGCTATCTTTATCTTCTTAAACTAGTATTTGTGTGATGAGCCCTGTGACTGACGGCTGAGAGCTGACTATACAGAACTGTAGATGCAGACTTTACAAATGAAATGATATAATTAGATATAATCAATATTAAGTATATATTTACATAATAATTAGAATATTTATAAACATTTATGAACAGACAGGTATAATATAGTAACTATATACAACAGCACCAATAGACAGCAGATAGCTCATTTATTTACACGCCACCTTTCCCTCTCCCGGTCATAAAAAGGAGACTGCTGGAACTGGTCCCAGCTCATCTGCGTCTCCATCCCCTGGTCCTTGTACAGGGAGAATATTTTGGCAGGGCAGTAGATGTATTTTCCTGACAGACCAGGGAATTGTGTATGAATGTGAGGACTGTTTGGTCCCTGCTTCAGCTGCAGTTTTCAGAACCCGCACTTTCTCCCAGTGGCAGGAGACTCATCTCTCTTCCTTTTCTTCTCCTGCCGCTCATTCACTCTCTGCTGCGTGGCCTCCAGCTCTCTCTGGCAGAACTCAGTGTCCATAAAGTCTCGGAATGGCATCCTGGAGTTGGTCAAACCCTCTGTGCGATAGGTGTTATAGAACTTGGTGGAGCAATAGAAATACCTGGTAGGACCCGGCTGGTAAAACTCGTGGATGGAGCTGCCATCGCCCTCATATTTGGATTTTGGCTGGCCACAGGACAGGCATTTCTTTGTGTGGGGTTTATTTGCTGGAGGCTGCTGCTGCTTTTCCAAGATCCGCTGCACAACCTTCTCTATGGCCTCCTCAGACAGCGGTGACATGAGTCTGAGCAGGAGGAGGGGGTTCACTGCTGCAGGGGGCATGGTGACAACAGGCGCTGTGCTGGTCCTACTGCCTGCTGTGAGCGATGTACTCCCCCAGCACTTCAGCCTTGTCTGAGGCATCACCTCCTCTCACTCGCACCAGAGTGAGGGCGTTCTCCCTCACCACCTCCTCCCTCAGAGGAGCACCGCACTCCGTCATGGACGGTTCGTCCCTGATCTTCCTCGCCTCCTCCGAAGGGTCCTGCAGCAGGAATCCACGTGGGCCCTTGTGAAAAATCACAGTGACACGGCCAGGAAAGAATGAAAATGTCTTCATATTGTCTGCAACAACAAAAAAAGATCATAAAATATCTAGCTATAGCATGATAGAGAAGTATGTATAATGTATATATCTTTAGCATAATAAAGAAGCATGAATCCTGTATAATCTAGAGAAGACATATACAGTTGTATGTTTACATCTGGACATTAGCAGCATGAGGCTCTGGGATACAGTAAGTACAGTTATAGAAGGAAAATATGAACTGGTAAAACACTAATACATTGTCGTAAACTAACTGCATATAATTCATTTTCAACTCAATGTGTTGCTGAACTATAGAAATGTGAAATACATATAGATAGTACACACATCAACGATAAGCATACTGTACACTACAGTACAACAGATGGAGAAAACTGTATTATACACTTATTTTGGCATCATGTGACTAACAGTACTATGCCTGTCACACATTATCAGCCATAAATCAAGTTTATGAGACAATAGTAAGTGAACAGAGAAAGAGCAGTGACAACACTGATCCAAACTCACAGCAGCACTTATACACAGCCTGTTACAACAACTGTGTGCATTAAACTTATTAAAAGTGCATTTGATCTGTATACAGTGTGCTTTAGCTCACGTGTGTACATCCCAAAACACCGCGTTAACTAGCGCTGGAAATACTACTACAACCAGACGTAAACAAACTGCATTACTGTATACAGTAGAATACAGTGAATACAGATTGTTTGTACAACGCAGAGAAAGTGTTTTCTTTACAATATTGATCCAAACAGAGAGATCTACGAGCAGCAGCAGCAGCAGCAGCAACAAACATATGACACGGAGGTAAACAATCATAAACAGCGCACTGCACACTCGAGATTTAAACTACAGACGTGTGTGAACGATCTACGCACAATATGAGAGATTTATGGAGTGAAACATAAAGAACGGGCACAAAAACATTGTGTTTATCAGAGGAGACTTACCGAGTGCGTGTTTAATCCACAATGAATGGAGAAAGCCGGCTCTCTCCGTTTTAGAGCAGCGCGCCAACGTCACTTCCGCTGGCACCGGAAGTGACGGAAAAATGGCACGATGCTAAATCTGGTGTAGCCATATTTTTTATGTAACTACACGCTGTCCCTTAAATAAACAACCTTCAAACTCTTATTTACTCAACCTTTTTGAAGAGGGTCACAAAACCCTTGGCGTTTAAAACAGAACACTGTGCACTACTTTCCCTTTTCTAAAATTTGCCAGGGTCGTCCAGGTTCTCGGTGGGGGCCCCAATAGTATTTATAAGCAATTTATTCCAACAGAAAGTGTCTGTAAAACAAACCAAGCATGGAGGACCAAAACTGTCAAAATAATAAATACATGTGATAAGTAAATAAATGTAACAATCTGGAATTATTCATAAAGATTTAATGAATATATATTGTTATTATACAAAGTTTTTGGTTCAAAACTTAATAATAAAGCTTTGTTATTTTCTGTCTGCATTTATTTATTTCCTTGGTCAATACCATAGGCTTGTACTCGTACTCATACTATAGGACCCAATGCCAGGCAACCGATACCCACATTATTAATTTACATTAGCGTCACAAAAGTAGACAGCTGTGCGCGTGTTGCCATGGTGATCGTCCAAAGGCGGCAGCTAGAAAGCAAGCTAGCGGCCAGCAAGTAGAGGTGGTGTAGACGCTGGGTGGAGCAGGACAGGTCACAGCAGGAGTGGCCGAACTTTTAAGGCGATTTTAGGCGCGATGTTGATGGTTCCCTGTTATATGTTGGTTTTAAGAGTCAAAGTTTTGTGTAAAGTTTGGTTTAAGTAGTCAACTGCTCCTGTGAAACCACACTGCTAATGTGTGATATAGAGTACCTTTCCTGTCGAGTTGAGCTGCGGCATACGTCATTTTACTGACGTATGCCGCAGCAGGCCAGTCGACAACCCGACTGGCCTGCTGGGTTGATAATGGAATTACTAACCAAACTCTTAAGTTGGAAGCTATTAGCTGTTGAGTTAGCCACAGGACGTCATTGGCTTACGTCAGTAAAATGACATATGCCGCAACTCGATGGTAAAGGTACTGCTATTACACAGTAGCAGTATGGTTCAGGAGCAGTTGACTACTTACACCAAACTTTACACAAAACTTTTACTCTTAAAAACCACATATAACAACATGGAATCATTAACATCTCGCCTCAAATTGCATTAAAAGTTACATTTGTGTCTTAATTTGTTCGTATTTAATGTTATTACACAATTCACAGACTTCATGTCCGCCATCTTGGACTGCATTGGTTGCCGTGAAACGCGCATGCGCAGTTTTGCATTACGTTATAAACGGTTGAGGGAGCTCATCTCGACGGGCAGACCACTTCGACAGAACACCGGGTCACAAGGGCAGAAGTTTATGCAGAAACGCCCAGACTTTCCCCTTTTCACACACTTCCTCCAGCTCATTCGGATGAATACTGAGTTGTTCCCAGGCCAGCTGAGAGACAGTGTGGCTCCAAAGTGTCCAGGGTTATTCCCAGATCTGACAGGTGACAAACAAGGGATAGAATAAACTGTTTTAGAGCCAGAAGTGAACTTGTGACATGGATTGTATCACTTAGCTTACTGTTTGGTTTGCAAGGCAAGGCAAGTTTATTTATATAGCACAATTCATACACAAGGCAATTCAAAGTGCTGAACAAAATAAGAAAGCATTAAAATCATAACATTTTTGAATGTTAGAACAACTACCAGACCCCTAATTTAGAGTATTTAATAATGTGCGTCCAGTTCCATGCAACGTTTTGAACTTTCCGCTAACAAGCAATTCCTGCTCTATTATTATAAGCTCATATAATAATAATAATAATAATGCATCGGTTTTATATAGCGCTTTTTTGGACACTCAAAGACGCTTCACATGTGTCATTATTCATTCACTCCATACACGGTGGTGATAAACTACTAATGTAGCCACAGCTGCCCTGGGGCACACTGACAGAAGCGAGGCAACCAATATGCGCCATCGGCCCCTCCGACCACCACCAACCATTCACACACACACCAGACTCATTCTAGGCAATGGGGGTGAAGTGTCTTGCCTAAGGACACAACAGCAGTTTGGCACTTTACAGCCGCCCCACTATGGCTGGTGTTCCCAGAGGTTAAGTGTCTTGCCAAGGACACAACGACAGTAGTCAGTGGGAGTCGATGGTGAAAGTCTTGAGCGGGGCTTGAACCCACGACCTTCTGGCTCAAAGGCCAACGCTCTACCAACTGAGCTACTGCTGCCCTATATATATATATATATATATATATATATATATATATATATATATATATATATATATATATATATATATATATACACACACATATATATATGCCGCCCATATAATGTGTCTTTTCACTAATCCACATTTGGATATGCATATTGTGTTCCAGCACCTCCAAATCTGAGACCATGGTGCTCTACTGGAAAAAAAAGGTACCTTGCCCTCTCCTGGTGGGTGGAGAGGTCCTTCCTCAAGTGGAAGATTTTAAGTATCTCGGGGTGTTGTTCATGTGCTCAGTGATGTATCGAACCGCGGTGAAGAGGAAGCTGAATCAAAAGGCAAAGCTCTCGATTTACAGAGCAGTCTACGTTCCCACCCTCACCTATATGAGTTATGAGCTTTGGGTAATGACTAAAAGGACAAGAACGTGATACAAGCGATCAAAATGAGATTTCCTCTGCAGAGTGGCTGAGCTCCCTCGAGATAGGGGAGGAGCTCGGAGTGGAGCCGCTGCTTCTCCACATTGAGAAGAACCAGTTCAAGTGGCTCGGCCCTCTGTTCCAGATGCCTCCTGGGTATGTCCTACCGGGAGGAAACCCCGGGTAAGACCAAGGACAAGCTGTAGGAACTGTCGGTGTCTCTGCACACAGAATACCAAAGCTGTTTAAAAGGAACACAAGTCCTGGAGTAATTATGTAAAACCAGCTTGGAGGTCCCTATGGAGGGGAAGGATATCATTCTGTGTGCTGTCGGATCGGATAATGAAGCCCTCATCGTCCACTTCCAGCTGAGAATTCTGTGAAGGAGTAAAGGCAGATGTTTATTTGTATAGCGCATTTCACAGACCAGGATCACAAAACCCTTACAAAGTCTGGGTGTGAATCTACAGTCAATAGTCATGAAAAGAAAGGAACCTCATTCAATGAGAAAGTGTGTCCAACTATTGGTCTGTACTATAGATACACATATATATATACACACATACATATATATTTTTTTTAATCTCACCTTTCGCCCTCCGCGGGCGGTTATCCCTCTCTAAGCTCGGGTCCTCTACCAGAGGCCTGGGAGCTTGAGGGTTCAGCGCAGTATCTTTGCTGTTCCTAGCACTGCACATTTCTGGACCGAGATGTCCGAGGTTGTTCCAGGGATCCACTGTAACCACTCTTCTAGCTTCGGGGTCACTACCCCGAGTGCACCGATCACCACGGGCACTACTGTCACCTTTAACCTCCAGGCCCTCTCCAGCTCCTCTCTGAGACCTTGGTATTTCTCAAGCTTTTCATGTTCCTTTCTCCGGATGTTACCATCGCTTGGAATTGCCACGTCCACCACCACGGCTGTCCTCTGCCCTTTGTCTACCACCACGATGTCAGGTTGGTTCGCCATTACCATTCGGTCGATCTGTATCTGGAAGTCCCACAGGATCTTTGCACGCTCATTCTCCACCACCTTTGGAGGAGTTTCCCACTTAGACCTTGGGTTTCCAGCCCATACTCTGCACAGATGTTTCTGTACACTATGCCAGCCACTTGGTTATGGCGTTCCATGTAGGCCTTCCCTGCCAGCATCTTGCACCCTGCAGTTATGTGTTGGATCGTCTCAGGTGCCTCTTTGCACAACCGACACCTTGGGTCTTGTCTGGAGTGGTATATCTGGGCCTCTATCGCTCTGGTGCTCAGGGCCTGCTCCTGTGCAGCCATGATGAGTGCCTCTGTGCTGTCCTGTAGGCCAGCCCTTTCTAGCCATTGGTAGGACTTCTTGAGATCAGCCACTTCTGTTATGCTCCGGTGGTACATGCCGTGTAGGGATTCTTCCATGATGGGGTCTCCTCCAGCACCTCCTCATCTCGTCACTGCCTGAGACATTCACTGAGTACGTCATCCGTTATGGCCTTCTCCATGATGTAGTTATGGAGTTTGGATGTTTCGTCCTGGACAGTGGCTCTCACACTCACTAGTCCTCGGCCTCCTTCTTTACGGCTTACGTACAGTCTCAGGGTGCTGGATTTGGGATGGAACCCGCCATGCATGGTAAGGAGCTTTCGAGTTTTAACATCCGTGGTCTGAATCTCTTCCTTTGGCCACCTGATTATTCCTGCAGGGTATCTGATCACTGGCAGGGCGTAGCTGTTAATTGCCCGGGCCTTTTTCTTGCCATTGAGCCGGCTTCTTAGGACCTGCCTTACTCGCTGGAGGTATTTGGCAGTTGCCGCTTTCCTCGTCAGCTGTTCGAGGTTGCCATTTGCCTGTGGTATACCGAGATACCTGTAACTGTCCTCAACGTCTGCTATTGTTCCTTCTGGGAGTGAGATCCCTTCTGTGTGGACTACCTTGCCTCTCCGAGTCACCATCCTGATCCTATAGATCCTGGTGGTTTGGATCAGAGAGTCGATGTCTCTCTCGCTCTTGGCGTACAGCTTGATGTCATCTATGTAGAGGAGGTGACTGATCTTTGCTCCGTTCCTGAGGCAATATCCATAACCAGTCTGGTCAATTACTTGGCTTAGAGCAGGGGTCTCAGACACGCGGCCCGGTGGCCAATTGCGGCCCGCGGGCCGGTCAATATTTTGTTGCCTTCTGCTTCTAATCAAAGCTCGCGCATTTTTTTCTCGCACGCATCTGGGGGTTTATGTTTTTTGACACCTGTGGACTCCCGTAGCTCAGGCTCGCGAGAACAGCGCAAATCACGCAAAATGTTTGGATGAACGATTGGAAGAAAAATATCTTGTCAGTACGTTTTTTTTTAGCCCCAGCCATGTCTTTTTCAAAACCTGTCATGAAGAGAAAAGTTGGCGATGAGCACAGACAATTTCAGGAGAAGTGGGAGCTGCAATATTTTTTTGTTGAGCACAGGGGCATCCCAACGTGTCTAATATGCTCGGAAAAAGTTGCGGTGCACAAGGAGTATCCCATTAAACGTCATTACTCAACAAAACATGCCGAGGAGTATGCAAAGTACCTGGGAGATGAGCGAGAGGACCGGGTCGCCAAACTTAAAACATGTCTTCTGAGGCAACAAGATTTTTTCAAGAAAGCCAAGAAAGAAAGTGAAGCGGCTTTCAAAGCTAGCTACGTGGTGAGTGAGATGATCGCTAAAGCAGGAAAGCCGTTCAAAGACGGTGAGTTCATCAAACAATGCATGTTACAGGCTGCCAGTATAGTCTGCCCGAAAAAAAAAGGCTCAGTTTAGTAACATCAGCTTTTCAGCCAACACAGTGGCAGAGCGCATTTCTGACATGTCAGGTAACATTTATGATCAACTGCGTGAGAAAGCTAAACATTTCCATTCTTACTCACTCGCTCTTGATGAGAGCACAGACGTCACTGACACGGCACAGCTTGCAATATATGTCCGTGGTGTTGATAACAATTTTGAAGTTACGGAGGAGTTGCTCACAGTGATTGCAATGCATGGCATTGGGGATGCCGGCTTACAATGGAAGTGTTTGGCTGGATTACCTACAGATGGGGCGCCATCAATGACAGGAAGGAAAAACTGACTTGTAGCACATGTTCGAAGAAAACTGGAAGAGGAGGGTGTGGAAGATGCCATTGCTCTGCACTGCATTATCCATTAGCAGGCCCTTTGCAGCAAAATCTTAAAGTTTGACAATGTGATGTCTGACGTCGTGAAATTCATCAACCATATCAGATCCAGGGCTTTAAAGCACCGGCAGTTCCGTGACTTTTTGGTTGAAATAGAGTCAGAATATGAGGCCGTGCTCTACTTTACCGAGGTACGTTGGCTCAGCAGGGGGAAGATCTTGAAGAGGTTTTTTGAGTTGAGGGCACAAGTGAAAGCCTTCATGGAGAAGGATGGGATGGCTGTTCCTGTGCTAAGTGATCCTAAATGGCTAATGGACTTAACTTTTCTTGTTGACATCACACAGGAGCTAAATGTACGGAACAAGAAGTTACAAGGCCAGGGCCAGCTTGTCAGTGTTGCATATAACAGTGTCAGAGCATTTTCCACAAAACTTATGTTATGGAAAGACAAACCTCTGCCATTTCCCAGCATAAAAGGAACTCATGAATTCAGGCACAACATTCAGTGGTGAGAAGTATGCTGATACTATCGGAAAGCTACAAGAAGAATTTGATCACAGGTTTGCAGACTTCAAGACACACAGAGCCACTTGTCAAATGTTTACTGACCCCTTCTTCATTAATGTGGAGGACGCCCCCCCTGTGTGAGGAGGAAGCGCTGCCAAGTCTCTGGTAGCAAGGAGTAGAAGGAAGTGAATGAAGCCAATGTTCTGAAGAACTGTTCGTGTTCTGCAAGTTCTGCATGTTCTGACTTGTTAAAATTGAGAAGATTGGATCAGTTGATCTTTTTTTTGGAATAATAGAATACATCTTTTTTTGTGATGCAGCGTTTTTTTGTGATGCGGCCCAGCCTCACCCAGACTCTACCTCCAGCGGCCCCTAGGTAAATTGAGTTTGAGACCCCTGGCTTAGAGGGTTGAGGCCTATGCAGAACAGTAGTGGGGACAGAGCATCTCCTTGGTAGATACCACATTTGATGGTCACTTGTGCGAGCGGCTTGCCATTTACCTCAAGAGTGGTCTTCCACATTCCCATCGAGTTTGCAACAAAGTCCCTTAGAGCCCTGTTGATATTGTACAACTTCAAGCATTCCATGATCCATGTGTGTGGCATTGAGTCGTAGGCTTTCTGGTAATCAGTCTGTGCACAGGTTGGTGTGTCGTGACCGGCAGTCTTGGGCGACTGTTCTGTCAACCAGGAGCTGGTGTTTGGCTCCTCTGGTGTCTCTACCAATGCCCTTCTGTGCTGTGCTCATGAATTGTTCCATATGCCCACTTATCTTAGCCGCAATGATGCCTGACATGAGCTTCCATGTTGTGGAGAGACAGGTTATTGGCTGGTAGTTGGAGGGGACTGCACCCTTGACAGGGTCCTTCATGATCAGATCATGTAATATATACACATATATATATATATATGTGTATATATTATACACATATATACTGTATATATGTGTATGTGTATATATCTATTTGTTTTCTTCTTTTTTTTAAAATCGATATCGATGGATGGATGGATGGATGGATGGATGGATATATATATATATATATATATATATATATATATATATATATATATATATATATATATATATATATATATATATATATATTATTTATGTATATATATATATATATACACTAGGGCTGTCCAAAATAGCGCGTTATTAACGCGTTAACGCAAATCAATATTAACGCCGTCATTTTTTTTATCGCGCAATAAAAAAAAAAAAAAAAAAAAAAAAAAAGATTTTTTTTTTTTTTTTTTTTTACTTTTTATTGCAGACAAACACATAGAAACAAAGAAAAGGACTAGTTCAGATACATTGTAGACAGAGATTACAAACAATATGTAGTTGGAGATACAGGGGGCCAAAGAAGAAACCCAGAAGGGCACATAGGAGGGGGGGGGGGGGGGGGGACATGAAGTGGGAGATGGGGGGAGGGGTTAATAAAAAAGGCAATACAAGCAAACAGTATACAGTCATAGATATACCGAAGGTAAACAGAGAAACAGCATAGAGTATTTACATGAACAAATTTACAAAATATTTACAGATTGTTTATCATCATCATAATGACACCATGATGTTTCTATACAGTCTATGGTCTATACCCACACATACACACACACACCCACACACACACATTGAAGGGGCTTTTTGTTACCAATTATTTATTTTGTCATCCATTTATTGATGATTTTGCATCAAATGTTAGTGTGTAATATAACACTACACATTGTTTTCAATAAAAAAAGCAATTGCACACAGCACGCAAATGTGTGACTAATTTGCGATTAATCGCGAGTTAACTATGAAATTCATGCGATTAATCGCGATTAAATATTTTAATCGTTGGACAGCACTAATATACACACAGTTCCTTGCGAAAGTATTGAACCTTTCAGGCTTCAAACATAAAGATATAACATTTTAATTTTTTGTCATGAATCAACAGCAAGTGGGACACAATAGTGAAGTGGAACAAAATTTTTTGGATAATTTAAACTTTTTTAACAAATAAAAAACTGAAAAGTGGGGCGTGCAATATTATTCGGCCCCTTTACTTTCAGTGCAGCAAACTCACTCCAGAAGTTCAGTGAGGATATTTGAATGAATGACCCATCAGGTACTTCTTAGCAGGTTTTCCCGACGTAGTAAATGTAGTGAAGAGGAGTGCACTGACCACTATATTGGAGAAACCAAACAAACTCAACAGAAACAACTTTACCAACATCGTAGAGAATACTCTAGTGGGCCACAGTCAGCTGTTCATCTCCACCTCAAGGCCTCCAACCACACGGATGACACAGAGGTTACAATTCTGGCTCGGGAGAAGAATTGGTTTGAGAGAGGGGTGAAAGAAGCCATTTTTGTGAGGAAACAAAAACCTTCTCTTAACAGAGGAGGAGGGTTGAGATTTGTTTTGCCTCGCATCTATGACGACATCCTAAAAACAACGCCCTAACTTGGGACAAGGTCAGTGACATGCTAATGAGTTGGGGTCGTTAGACCTTAGATTGTATATGAGTTAGTATCAGGATTAGGGTGTGGCTAACCACACCCATAGGTTATAAATCGCTCTGAGAATTCATTCCCTGAAGAAGTCCTTTGGATTGAGGACGAAACGTCGGGAAAATCTGCAAAGAAGTACAGATGATGGGTGAGAAACCTTCCTTTGCCTAGAAGGCTCTAGCTTTAATATGATGCATCACACAAGCATGTGAGATGTAAGATGTGTTTTTAAACAAGCAAAGACATTTGGGTATGCCCAACTTTTGTGCACAAGCCAAAATGAGGCAGGTGTTAAGAGATACACCGCAAGGGGAACGAGCAAGTGTACCACCAACTGTGGCTGCGTAGGTCCAACGTAACCGCAAACATAACCAGCGCCGCCCGAGTGTACACAGGCCGTCACACTAACCTGTCCTCGCCCTCCTTGGAATTTGGGATGGAATCCACCATGCATGGTAAGGAGCTTTCGAGTTTAAATCTGTATTCCGAAATGCTTCCTTAGGCCATTATTCATTATTCCTGCAGGGTATCTGATCACTGGCAGGACATAGCTGTTGATTGCCCAGATCTTTTACTTGCCATTGAGTTGACTTCTTAGGAAATACCAAGGGCTCAGAGGGGTGCTGGAGAGGTTACAGCAGATCCCTGTAACAACCTCGGAAATCTCAGTCCAGAAATATGCAGTGATAACAACAACACTGAACCTGAGCTATGAGAGGGACATCTGCCCTTGGAGAGTGAACATTGCAAAAAAAGTTATGTATTTTTGTATATTGCGTCGCACTATGTTTCATTTTGGGGCTCCATCTATCATCATAAATATTGCGCCCTTTTATGAAAAATACATAAATACAAACTAACTCACTGGTGTCTCTGTCATGGCCAAATCCCTGTATAAAAACAAAAGACAGGTGAATGTCAAAGTGGGCTTAGTGCAAGATGTGGTGTGAGTGATGGTTGTTCCTTACACGGAGTCTGGTTCCTTGTCTTTCCTTCCGAGCCCTGGGATCCGGAAGGCTTTGCCACGACTCTTCTTTCCTCCTTCCGGTGCCAGAGCCGTTATGGTCTCCTCAAAACTAACCAGGGCTGTACACAAAAGCATGTTTATCCAACAAGGGTAGGATAGTAACTCTGTAAAAAAAATGGCAGTTGCAAAAACCTAATTTGACTGGAGAAAATTTCATTTGAAGTTTTAAAAAGCCAGAAAACGTTTGATAGACTTAACACTCACCATTCCATATCCTGCACCCAGTTCCAACCCCCTTTGCCAAAACTTCGAACCAAGTATTCTCTACCAACTAAGCCACTGACGCCCGCACATCTGAGATTTGCAGGCCAAAGTAGCAGACTCGAGCAAAAAAATGTTGTTAAAGATTTGACAGTAAAGTGCAAGAATTTGAGCACTCTGAATTATCATATTAAATGTATTCTAGGGCGACAGTGGCTTTGTTGGTAGAGCATTGGCCTTTGAGCCTGAAGGTCGTGGGTTCGAGTCCACCGTAAGACCTACTTCATGACTCCCACTGATGACGTTGTCATTGTGTCCTTGTAAAAGACACTTAACCCCACTTTGCCCGAAGCCCCTGCTGAAAGATGTCAGCTCCTGTGGACTCACCACCTGCAGGAGCAACAGTGAGGGGTTTGTGCTCTGTGTACTGGGTGCAGCTCTGACTGCCACCCCCGACCCAGAAATGAACCTGCCTTACTCACTGGCGGTATATGCCATTTGCCTGTGGTATACCAAGATACTTGTAGCTGTCCTCAACGTCTGCTATTGTTCCTTCTGGGAGTGAGATCCATTCTCCGAGTCACCATCCTGCTACATTTCTCAAGTCAGAATGACATCCCGATGTCATGGCTGTAGATCCTGGTGGTTCTTGGCGTAGAGCCTGATGTCATCCATGTAGAGGAGGTGACTGATCTTTGCTCCGTTCCTGAGGCGGTCTCCATAGCCAGTCTGGTCGATTATTTGGCTTAGAGGGTTCAGGCCTATGCAGAACAGCAGTGGAGACAGAGCATCTCCTTGGTAGCTACCACATTTGATGGTCACTTGTGCGAGCGGCTTGCCATTTGCCTCAAGGGTGGTCTTCCACATACCCATTGAGTTTGCAACAAAGTCCCTTAGAGCCCTGTTGATACAGTAAACAAAGATGGCGCCTCGTACGGTCGACATGGCTCTTTGCTGCTCTCTTTTTCTTTTGTTTTTACTTTTTAACTGCGCATCTGGCTGTTCCTACACCCGTGAGGAACTTATGAACATCCGACCCACCGTTCCCATGGACCTATTGCCTGTTTTCTTGGCATCTGCGGCTGATTTAGTCCATGTTCTAGCCAAAAAAGTGTGGGCCCGTAAAAGGGGAAAGCGCGGAGGCCTGCTCGTGCGTCTTAGGAGGAGAGGAGCGCGCACGGCTCTCTCCGGCATTTTTCTCTCCAATGTACGCTCACTGGGCAATAAGATGGACGAACTCAGCCTGCTCATGAGAAGAAACAAGGACTTTGCCACATCCTGTGTCCTCTGCTTCACTGAGACCTGGCTAAATGAGCGGATCCCGGACTGCGCTCTGGAGCTGCAGGGTTTTGGGCTGTTCCGCGCGGATCGCCATTGTGCGCTCTCAGGGAAGAGCAGAGGCGGTGGGCTGTTTTTCTACGTCAATACAAACTGGTGTAACGATGTGACAGTGATCTCCAAGCACTGTTCTCCTGCTCTGGAATATCTTTTCATTCATGGTAAACCATTTTACTCCCCTCGTGAAATTGTTTCATTCATTCTTGCCTCTGTTTACATACCGCCATGCGCGGATGCGCTCAGCGCGCACTCGCAGAGCAAGTACTTAGTATGGAACGTTTATACCCGGACTCTCTGATTATTATCCTGGGGGATTTTAATAAGGGAAACTTGAGCCAGGAATTACCCAAATACAGACAGTTTATCAAATGCCCGACCAGAGAGGAGAACACTCTGGATCACTGTTACACCACCGTGCGCGGAGCTTTTCGCGCTGTTCCCAAGCCAGCCCTCGGCTTCTCAGATCACTCCATGATACATCTGGTTCCTGCTTAAAGACAGAGACTAAAGCTCTTGAAACCAGCAGTGAGGAGCTCCAAAGTGTGGTCTGATGAAGCTGTGGAAGAGCTGCGCGCATGCATGGAATCTACAGACTGGGACCTTTTCAGAGCTGCCACAGATAGTTTGGATGAATACACGGACACTGTGACGTCATACATTCACTTCTGTAGGGTGAGGAAAAGGTGAGCGCCAATCGGGTGTGAATAACAGACCCTTTCCGTAAACATGCCCTCCCTAGCTCCTGAGACTTCAAAGCAACTGCGGGTTCAATTGAAGGTTAACATTCACCAGGAACACTACAACGAGACCCAGAGGGGCAATAAAACAACAGAACAGGACATCTGTGTGCCCCCCTGCCAGACGGAGATCAGGAATCATTCATCAGCAATCGCTCATGAGACATTCCACAACCTGAGACTCTCCCACGGCGCTCTGGCGCTCCCTAGCGGACACTGGACACTACTGCACCCAAGGCGGACACTCGAAAAGGACATTACTCTGTAATATTATGTCGATAACGTTACGGACCTTACTCGTGTGTGTTGATGTCTGTGATGTAAATGCACTGTGTGTTTGTACATGTGTTATGATCATCTGTATTAATCCTGTGTGTTCCCACTATAACCCATTTGTTGTGGGGAGGCGGCCCAAGGAAGACGCGCAAATATGACGTCACGGGCGCGCCCACTTTGACCACAACAAAACCAGCCCGCAAACCTAGAGACTGCCTCTTGTCCTCTCCTGAAATCACTATCCCAGCTCTCCCTGGCCATCTGCGTCCCGCGGTACGTGTCTCCAATACGGCCGCGCCAGCACGCATCGGGCCTCCTATTCCGCAAAACACACTCTCCTTGGCTCGGGACCTTATGAACTGTTCATCACCAGCCTCTTTTTCGTGGCTCTGGACTCTACGCACGCAACCCATTCCGGACTGGGCTGCATACGCGTGGATCAGCAGCTGGACCAACTCGCTGGCTTTGTACCTCCCGCCTGCCCAGACAAAGAAACCACGTGGGCTGATTCCCCAACCCAAATCCTTCCTCCATCCTCTACGCTCCTACAAAGTAAGACTGTTCTTGTTAAATGTGTGATCTGAATGAAATGTATACCACTCCTGCTTTAATGTGACCAGAAATCCCCTTCGTTATATTTTTACCTTCATTTTGTAATCAATAAACCCCTTTTCTTTAACTCAATCCTATCAGAGTCGTGTTGTTAGATTTCGGTATATCCCTGGCAGATTATCCTACTCAACCCATTAGATTTATAAGACTGAATCGAGGCAAAGATTTGGTTTGTGTCTGTGCAGACTTCTAACTCTGCTGGTGCCCAAAATAAAAACAGACCCACACTACCAAATTTATACAACAACATAATCAGCAATATAAGTAGTTACCCTACATATTGGTACCCTGTTTGTGAGATCCGCGTAAATAGACCAGATTTATCAACTCGTACTCTGTGACTGATCTGCAATACGCTAACTTAAGCACTGCTCCGCTCAAAGCGCTTCCCCCCACCTCCTCACCCCCACATCCCTGCTACCCCCGTTGCTATAGTGACTTCAACGACAATCGAGCTCCCCTACGCCCCACGCTTGCGATAAAAGCGTCTCGTGCATGCACCAGACTATTAATTTAGTCTCAAAATCCTGGCTTTTCGCACAGGTACTACGCATCTCCTACAACGTGTCGCCCCGCTTGGCCAGCGGGCAGCGTGGAGTGTGAAGCCGCTTAAACTCTTAAGAGAAAGCGCAAAAACTTGTCCTTGTAACCCACCGTGCGCCGTGTCCAGAACACGGGCGCACGAACCTACTGTGTCCCTTTGTGACCCAGGTCACACAGGATTGTAACCGAGTATATGTGTATAAAGGCTGTGAAAGTACAGCTGCTTGAATGTGATGCTACTGTTCTGCTAAAGGTGGCTAACGCTAACTCTGTCTCACCACTCTTTCTCCTGCTACTCTGCTGTTGTACACACACACACCAACACTGTACTGCACAATACAGACAAACACCATCCCACCACTGTATACGTGCTTGTGCGAACTGTATAACTCGCTCCAGACTTTCGTTGTATAAACTACTGCTAAAACGCTCCACGCTCGAAAGCTAACGGCTAGCTACCCTTCTTTGTTCTAGCATAAGGCTAACTTCCGCTCGGGCCTGCTAAGCCTCAAAGCTACATTCGGACAACGCCGTTGCTCCTAATACTGCTCCCGCTAATAGCTGCTCTCTCACTGTTAATATTACTGCCGCTCTGTTTAACCACATTGCATTCGGTTACCAAAACTCATTGTTTATTGCCTAAACTGCTGCTAAAACGTCCCGTTGCCGGCAAGCTACAGGCTAGCTACGCTCCTTTGTTTTTAGCATACGGCTAACTTCCGGCCCTGGCGTGCTAAAAGCCAGAGCTGCATCCCCACTGCTAATACCATTCTGCTGCATTGCCTGTTGTCTAACAATAACGCTACTTACTACACTTTCGTACTATCCTATCTCACTCTGATTCTGTGTTCTGACGATCATAAGGCGCCAGCCGTCTCGGCATACCGCTAAACGAGCCGCACCTCTTTTATTGTCTAACACAGGATTGCTTTCCGGTCCCGGCACTACTTCCGGGACCACATTGCTGCTGTCTTGACACCCCATTCTGCACCACGTCTTTAATCATCTGTGGCTGTGGCTCTAACGTAAAACGGCTTTGCTATAGCTCCGTGCTGTTTTGTTACTCCAACTCAATAACCACATTACTGCCATACATTGGTAAAGCTAACACTCTGTTTCTGTTCCTCCTCTTTAACGTCATTGCTAGACTACATTACTGCGTTAGCCGAGTTAATGCTGTAAACTCTGCTCCTTCTGCTGCATGCCGCGGGTGAAACGCATTCTATGCTTTATTCCTGCTCACTCACTACTGCTAGTTTACGGTAACACATCTGTGTGGTGATTTAACAAATACTGCACTCCCACACACACAACCCCCCCCCCTTGCCGCTGATAATACGCATTATTGTAGTAACTAATCCTATGCCGTGTTTCTGCTTCACGGAATTCTGCTGCATGTCATTTTTTTTCTTTTAGAACACATTACTGCTATACATGAACAGAAGCTAACACTCTGCTTCGGCTCCTCCTCTTACACATAATTGTTAGACTACATTACTGCGTTGGCCAAGTTTCACGCTGTAACTCTGCTACTTCCAGCGCATGTTGCTATTAGGACACATTACTGCTATACATAACAAAAACTAATATTTCAATTCGGCCCCTCCCACTGCCTGTCACAGCTAGACCGCACTGCTGCCCATAGTTGTAACATTAACACTGTTTAGATTCAGATTCAGATTCATTTATTTGCCATTTGCAGTAAAACCACATTGGAAAAACTGTGCAAGACTACCCCGGTGTGCGCCAGACAGAGACGACACACACCAGAGAGGGAGAGATCAGAGGGAGGCGAGGGGAGCGGGATATATTCTATTAAATCCAATTAAACCGAATTGCGGCGCCCTCAAACCCCGTACACAGGGGCCAATCCAAGCCGGGTCAGAGAGTTCAAGCGTCTTTGTCCAGCCTTCTTTACTATCATTCCACGCTGTTTGTGTTTGCTACCTAACAACCACATTGCTGCGCTGGTGAAACTAATAATCTGATTCTGCCTCTGTTACTGCACGTTATGGATAACACACTACTGTGGTAACTCCTTGTACTACACTAAAACTAACAATTTTAATTCTGCCCTCCTTCTGCATGTCACGGCTAGACCGCACTGCTGCCCATGGTGATAACATTAACACTGTCTGGCTGTTTGTTCCATGCTGTTTTGTTGATCCAATTAATGACCACTCTGCCAAACTCTACGTTTGATTGTACTACATCAAAACTAATACTCTATTTCTAACCCTCACTGTCACTAAAATTGCATTGCCTTGCCTCAGCCTGCTGCCTTTTTGCTACTGCTTACTTGAGCTGCGTCTAACACAAACGCAAGTGCGTCCACAAACGCAAGTGCGTCTAACACAAACGCAAGTGCGTCCACGAACGCAAGTGCGTCCACGAACGCAGGTGCGTCCACGAACGCAGGTGCGTCCACAAACGCAGGTGCGTCCACAAACGCAGGTGCGTCCACAAACGCAGGTGCGTCCACAAACGCAGGTGCGTCCACAAACGCAGGTGCGTCCACAAACGCAGGTGCGTCCACAAACGCAGGTGCGTCCACAAACGCGTCTCTAACGCTGCGTCTTAAGCCGCGTCCATCACGCTGCGTCTTAAGCCGCGTCCATCACGCTGCGTCTTAAGCCGCGTCCATCACGCTGCGTCTTAAGCCGCGTCCATCACGCTGCGTCTTAAGCCGCGTCCATCACGCTGCGTCTTAAGCCGCGTCCATCACGCTGCGTCTTAAGCCGCGTCCATCACGCTGCGTCTTACGCCGCGTCCATCACGCTGCGTCTCTAACGCCGTGTCCCCCTACGTGCGCCAACGCCAGTAACCCCAACGCTCTTCGCTGACACACAGGTGAAGAAGTACTAACGCCCGGCCCCTGTCCTAGGCCGCCCACTCGCATACACCACCACACGAAGAGGACGCTGTTGTCACGGCTTTGACACACACCAAGGTTTGCACCACCACACAAACAGCTGTACTACCCTCTCTATAGCACTGCTTTCCCCCTTTCCTTCCCCCACTGTGTCATGCACACACGTCCCAAATCATACTCGCATACACTAACCCACACAAATATGGAAACCGATGGCGGAAACTCGCCACGACCGAGCGAACACGATAGCGTCGTGGAGGAACACGACGTAGTGGATAACCTTCTGCGCGACTTCACAGAGAAGCTATCCCCAGGGGCCTACGATATGCTTGAGCACGGCTCACCCTCCGACTTACTGGATGCCACTTCCACATTGGCATCCGAGGCTATTAAGAAGAAACTGGAAGGTAAGCCCCTGACCCAGTGGCTGGGTCAGCTAGCCGCGGTCTCCAGGATAACCTTACGCGACTGCGAAGCCCAGAACCAGAGGCTTCAAAACACGGTAGGTGACCTGGAACGACAACTAGCGGAAGCTAGGGTGCCCGCCGCGAGCCGCTTGGAACCAATCCAACAGGTAAGTGGAAACCACCAACTGGGACTTAACACGATTCCAAGCGCGACCATGGATCTAGATCGCGCAGCGAGAATCAGGGCCGCTACTTCGAACGGAACCGGCCGAGATGGTGCCTCCGGCGCATACTCCCCTCACTCCGACCGTGGCGGACCATCGTCCGAGAGTGAACGCAGGAGCGTGGCCGAACTGGTAAGTATCATCACGGGAAAAGACCAGAACCAAGGTCAAAGACACGATACACAACCCAACAGTAACAATCGGAACAGGTCCCAACGGTCCGTCGACGACGAACCCGATCACGTTGCGCGCAACCCCCACCATATAACGGGACCGCCCGCAACTACAGCCAACCCCCAACACTACATTAGACACATCGACCACTTTGACCCCAGACTCGACCCACCGACGAGCCAGGCGACGTACCACGTGGCAGACCGCTCACGGTTCCCCGGGGACCCCTCCGCTTATGAGAGACAACCCCCGACCGGACCCGCCGCAGCACACCGGCACGTTAAACACGAAACGCATGGCCACCAGACCCATACGCACGGACTGACCATGGACCGCGACGAACAACGGCCAACAGCCCGCCATTGGGATGGTGGAGACCACCTCAACCAGGGACGGGACTCCCACGTCGCCCCTCCGGGAACACACATGGACATGCGACGCAGCCAACATGACTACTCGACCCATGACTCCGCCCCACCTGACGTCCATACGAGACATGCTCCAGACTACCGCCATTGGGACGAAAGGGCCCGCCCTGAACATGGCGGACCACCCTACAACGACCCCCCTGGCCCACATCAGTACATGCTACATGGACCACACGACATACGGTACCCTGAGCCTGGGCCGCCCGCATATGCTGCGGGACAACGGCCAGCGACCCGCCATGGGAACGCCGGGGACCTCCCCAATCATGGAGGACAACCCCACAGCACCCCCCCGGTCGCACGCCAGGACTTGACCCCAGGACAACGGTACTACCCGGACTATAGAGAACGAGACGCCCGTTACGCGCCCCCGATAGGTCGAGACCCGCTCGGACCATCCGACCGCGACTTCGACCGCATAGCTAGACACATAACCCGCTTTGACCCCCGGCCCGGCATGCCTACAAACACCCGGTCATACCTCCGCGTCGTCGACTTCCACGCCGACCGCATGCCACACGCGTCTCAAGATGACAAAATATACTTGATTAGACTCACGTCCAACGGAGAGGTGAATGACTTCATCGAAAGGCAACCAAGGGCTATAAAACATGACTACAACGAGCTCTGCAAAGCCATCCTGGCAGAATACTCAGACTACGGCGCCTCCGGGACCCTCACGGCAGCCATGGCGGTCAAACAAGCTCACAACGAGCTTGCGGAATGCTACTACCACAGGTTGCGACAGGCCTTCTTCGGCAACCGGAACTACGAAGGGATGGAGGAAGACACAAATTTCAGGGCCCTGTACCTCCAAAACCTCCACCCCAACCTTAGCCAACTACTGGGCGTGTACGCCTGCCCCCTTACGCAGGACATACGACAACTGAAGACCCTAGTGGCACGGGCACAAGGCAAGCACCTGCTCAAGTCACAGGCTAAACCGCAAACCCAACCTTCGGTGTACAGTGTGGAAAACCACATGGAACTTGAAGGCGCACCAACGGCCCCAAAACACAAATGGGAACCAAACCACAGACCCCAAAGGAATAACCAGAGACAAGCGGAACCAAAAAGCGGACAGCCACGCGACCACAAACTCCCGCAATTCGGTGAGAGACGCGCCGGCCAAGCCGACGGGAATGACCGAACGCCACAACGATCCCGCCAAGACCGCACCGCTACTACCATAAATAAAGGAAACCTCTCCAGAGAGGAACAGTCCCTCCTCCGAACGCTCCTGCGCAAGGCCAAAGAAAGGAAGACGGACAACGCCGACGTGTTCGCAGTGTCCGTGCCGGATGACGCAGAGAACGCACCCTACCGGGTAAACGACGACCTCAGCGAACAAGAGCTGGACGACGACTACTCTGACCCATACATACTGGAGGAACTCCAGAATGAGCTGGGCGAGGAAACCTGGGAGCCCCACCCACATGATGAAGACGCCTACTGCGACCAAAGAGACGTCATGGTGGTACAGGTAAGTTCGATCACCGACCCGCGGGGGGATGGACCCTCGACAATCAGGTGCGAACCACCGTTCCACCAGTTCATTGGCGATTTACAACAGAAGGGAGCCAACAGGAAACTTTACTTGTCCGTGACACTCGAGGACCAATGGGAACACGAAGCGCTCATTGACACAGCCGCCGACATCAGCCTGATTGCCGGCGACCTCTTCGGTAAGTTACAGTCACTGGCAAGAAAATCCCACAGAGACCTAAAGACACAACTGTGTAACTTGGAAATACGACCCTATTCCCAGGTAAACACTACCATACACAGAATGGCGCTAATACAACTCACGGTGGGCCCCATGACGCTGGTCCACCCGGTCTACATCTCCCCGTTCAACTCTATCCCGCTCCTGCTGGGCCAGGACCTCCTGAACCGCTTCGAGCCCCTGATAGACTTCCAGCGCCTAAAGATCTGGGCCCAGGTCCGGAAGCCTTTGCCCATCCCACGCACACTGAGCGAAACCCACTGCTACCTCGTGGAGACGCCACCAACAGCCGAACGAAGGCCGACCAAGGCACTAGCCGAAACCGGTCGCCAGGACTTCCCGACAAGTACCGGCGCCAACTTCCTGTGCGCCTTCACGCCATCCGCGCATTCGGACTCCCCCGCCATAAACGCCGGTGTAACCTTGGAAGGCGCAAACTTCCCAGTCGCCGCCCTCGCCTACTGGGCTGGCCCAAAACTCGCCAAAACTACCATTCGTGAGGAAGGCCTCGCGCTTCCCAAAGGACCACCGGTCCACGGACGTGCTCCCAGCTATAGGATTCTGCTCACTCGCTTTGCAGATACATGACAAGACGCTCAAGCATACGTTCTCGGTCGTCAAAGGCTTGCCGCACCCGATAGTCATCGGCGGCGACGTCCTGACGCGCTTAGACACACGAATAGACACGATCAACAACGTCCTCTGGTCGCTAACAACCGTGACGAATAAATCCGAGACCCCCCCGCTAGACAACCTAAAATCGGGCCAGACCATACCGGAGGTGTGCCAGGTGGCAGCGCAGAACCACCTCTCGCTGCCACCCAACACGTCCGCGCCACTAGGCTTGGTAGTCCTACCTGGCCAAATGACCAGCAACTCCCAGGTTTTCTTCCAACCGTCCCACCTTTTCCTGACGCTGGGCTTACAAACGGAAGCGACCCCCCTCCTACGGCTGGAAGGCCGCAGGGCGCACGTTAAGGTGCTGAATACCACAGGGGACGCCATCCTCATACCGCGGGGCACCCCACTGGGCTGGCTGATTGACACTACGTTCCACGATTTCGACCTGCGCCTCCCGGTGATAGGGGACTGGCCAACAGGGCTGGACCGGGACCCCGACGCGCGGGCCCTGCTCACCAAACCATCAAGGTCGATCTCACTCTTCACGGTACCCGGCCCCAAATCCAGCGACGTGTATAGAGTCGACCTGACTAACCAGTCGGAGATGGTCCTACAAACCATCTCAGTCATAGACTCGGGGGTCGACACCTTCCCCACCCGAGAGGTTCACGAGCCAACGCAAGAACCCACCGCCTGCCCCTCCTTCGAGGAGGAGCTGGACAAAACCGTGGCGTTAGCGGATGCCATCAACACTGACGAAGAAAGAGCTAAACTCCGCCAGGTGCTGATGAAATACAAATCCTCTTTCGCCACAGACGCAACGGACTGCGGTCTGACCAACATTCACACAGTCCGCATCCCGTCTAAACCCAACGCCCCGCCGACCTACGTCCGCCAATACAAAATTCCCTTGGCATCGTATAAACCGGTGCAGGGCATTATAGACGACCTCCTCGTAAAAGGGGTCATAAGACCCTGCAACAGCACCTACTCCGCCCCTATATGGCCGGTGCTCAAGCCCAACGGCAAGTGGCGACTGACTGTCGACTACCGCCGCCTCAACTCGCAAATTCCCCTGTCCAGATGGCCAATGACCCAACTGGGCCAGGACCTACCAAAAGTTAGGGACGCAAACGCTCGATATCGCTTCGGGCTTCTGGACGATACCGGTACACCCACAAGACCAACACAAATTGGCCTTCAGCTTCGCCAACAAGCAGTACACTTTCACACGCTGCCCTTTCGGACTCTCGAACTCGCCAGCAGAGTTCAACATCTTCCTAAACAAGGCCTGCCCGGATGCGGCCAGCAGGGACACCTTAATCTACGTGGATGACGTCCTCCTGAGGACCACCTCCTTCGAGGAACACCTGGTGGAAATCGACCACGTCCTGGATCAACTAACTTCGGCTGGGGCGAAGGTGTCGCTACGTAAATGCCAATGGTGCCGCACCAAGGTAAACTATGTAGGCCTCCTAGTCGGACCAGAGGGCGTGGAACCGCAGGCCGACAGAACCCAAGGCCTTTCGAACCTAAAGACGCCCACAAACATCTCGGAACTACGCAGCTTGCTAGGAGTGTGCAACTACTCCCGCCAGTTTGTGGAACACTACGCCGAAATAGCGAAACCTCTGACGAACCTCCTAAAAAAGGACACACCGTTCGTCTGGGAAGACAGCCATGACGAGGCCATGAAGGCCCTGCTCGACCGATTGAGAAAAGCCCCGTGCCTGGTGTACCCGAACCTGAACAAACCATTCTTCTTGGAAATCGGGTTCTCCGAGCACAGCCTCAGCGCGGGCCTATACCAAACTCACGACTCCGACAAAAGAATCATTGCCTACGCCAGCAAGACGATGGCCGCGCCCGAGACAAAATACTCGGACTGCGAAAAATCCCTGCTGGCCACCGTCTGGGCGGTGAGACACTTCTCAAACTACATTGGCAACCAAACAGTGGTCGTCAATACGAACCACCAACCGGTGACATTCCTCGCCAGCCAAAGGCTCAGAGACGGTATCGTCACAAACGCTAGGGTAGCCACCTGGCTGATGGCACTACAAAGCTTCGATCTCCAGGTGTCATACGCACAAAAACACAGGTCGTACCTCGGGATGGGACTGGCCGAATGCCAAGACTGCATCGTCGACACACCAGCCGGGACCAAGTTGGATCTGCTACCCACCCCACTTGAGCCACAACAACACTGTTACTTCGACCAGAATCTATGTGACGGCCTGCCAACTGCATACGTGGACGGCTGCTCGTTCCACCACGAAACCATCAAACGCGCCGGTGTCGGCATCGTGTGGAAGGGCGACGAGCCCGCCACCCCACAGAAATTCCTCCTGGGGCCCCAAACTTCACAATATGCGGAAATCGCCGCAATACTAATCTTGCTACAACACGCCGTGTCATACGGAATCAACACCATGGTGATCTGCACAGACTCTAACTACGCCCGACTCAGCTTCTCCTGCCACCTGCCTCTGTGGAAGAAAAATGACTACGTCACCTCCAGCAAAAAGCCAGTCAAACACAAACAATTGTTCATGTCCTGCGATAAGATAGTCACGGAACGCAACATGCAGATCTACTGGAAAAAAGTCCGGGGCCACTCACGGGAGCCTGGCATGGACAAAGAGCTAAACGACATGGCCGACAGCCTGACCAAACAAGGCGCCGTGAACGGCGCAGAATGGCATTTCCAGGAGCAATTACCTGAGACACCCGCCCAAGAGCAACCCGCCCCCGCAGTATGTGCGGTCACGAGGGCTAACGCGCCTACAAAGCAGCCAACTCCGGACGTCACGCCCGCACACACGACCCCCGCCTTCGACAGGTCCGACCTGGTGTCCCTCCAAAATGCGGACCCCACGCTGAAACGTGGCCAAACATGCAAAAGGACGCCAAGCAATACGTCGAGGGCTGCCTCGTGTGCTGCCAATTCCAACCAACAAGACCACTACACCGGGCCCCCCTACAGTCCAGAGGTATAACCTTCCCCTGGTCGGACCTCCAGATCGACTGGGTGGGCCCCTTAACCCTTTAGGCGCCAGAGTTTTTTCAAGAAAATATACAATTTTGATTTCAAGATTTCAAAAGGCTATAACTTTAAAATGGTTTGAGATAAAGGCATACTGTAAATTAGAAATATCTTCAGTTTGAACCAAACTTTGGGATGGAAGTTGATTCGTCATCTAATTTGCATATTGTGACGTCATCAAGGTGGCGGCCATTTTGGAAAATGTTAATTATTGTATAAAGACTTCAAAAGCTGTAGCTTGGGAGTTATTTGAGATCAGGGAATACTATAAACAGTAAATGTGAAATATCTTTAGTATAAAATGAATTTGAGATAGAAATAAATTCCCTGATCCAGATTATAGATAATGTTTTAGCACTGGTTCGCGGCCATATGGAATTGTATTATTTTCAAAGACCTTCAGTGATCAAGACAGCACTCTTTATAGTTTACAGTCATGAAATTTTGAGATTGGTTTCAATATTTCCCTTTCAAAGAAGTGGTGAGCTTACTATTTTTCTCAGTGGAAATGAGGCTCGAGGATTTACCGTTTACAAACAGAGAGATGAAATGAATGGGCTCAGAACATGTCAGATCGTCTCAACAACATACAACAGGCTCTTCAACACTTCTAATCCACTTTTGTGGATTATTTTCTCTCAAGAACTGCCTTGCTTCATCCTCATCGCTGTTGGTAAAGGCATTGAACGCGATTAGCGATGTGTTTTTTTCCCGCGGCTCTCCCGCGACTTCTCCCGCGTTTCCCGTGTTCCCCGTGGATGTCTACCCCCGCTACTTTCTCCCACATGCCCGGTGTTATGATCCCCCTGTCCCCTCCACCACGGATCCTGCTTGGCGTTCACAGAATGCTTCTACCGCGGCCACACGGAGGACAAGCAGCCGCTGCACAGGGGCTGATTGTGGACTATATGGAGCGCGGTCTCCCCGTCACCAATAATGTCCGTGTCTGCTTCACTGGACACCTGTGTGTCTTCCTCCTCTGAATCTGAGTGAGTCAGTACCAGAGCAAGTACTTCTCTGGTACTGAAGACCTCGTGAGTAAAATAAAAAACACTCTCTCCCTCTGCTCTGCTCTCGCTCCTCTCAGCTCTACCGCTGCTGCTTCGCCTCCGCGCCGCTGCGCCGCAGGTGTTTTACGAACTCAATTAACTCAAAAACTTTCAATATAACCACACCCACAAATGTTGCTCATATTACAGGCACACATGTCCACTAACCCCTGGTGAAAAGTATTAACAAGATTCTGCACCACATTTTTACATACAGCCTGTTTAAGTGAGCAATGTTGCTTGTCGCAATATTGCGACTTTGGCGCTTAAAGGGTTAACGAAGTCTACCCGAGGCAACAAATACATCCTCATGGTCACCTGCGCATTCACCAAATGGGTCGAAGGCTTACCAGCCCCAAACGACACAGCGCAAACGACGGCCTGCCTACTGATGAACCATGTGTTCTCACGATACGGACTACCGTGCCGAGTTAACTCGGATCGTGGCACGCACTTCACCGGGGAAGCCATGACCCACCTGTGGGAAGCACTTGGTGTCCGGGCCTCCCTCCACGTGAGCCACCACCCCATGAGCTCGGGGCAGGTAGAAAGAACAAATCGGACGGTGATCGAAATACTAAAGAAGTATGTAGCTACAAACCAGAGGGACTGGGATGTGAAACTCCCACTGGTCCTGATGGCAATCCGAGCCACACCCCACCGCTCCACGGGGGTCTCCCCATTCGAGATGATGACAGGTAGGCAAATGACGCTCCCGCTGCATCTGCTCTACCAGCCAGGCGAAGCAAATATCGCCACGGCCTACACCACGCATCACTACATGACCGATCTACAGGACCACCTGAAACAGACATTCGCGTTCGCTCAACGGAAGCTGGGAAACAGCGCCGAAGGACGGAAGGCCTATTACGATCAAAAGGCGTCCCACAACGAGCTCCAGGTCGGAGACCAGGTATGGTATTACATCTTTGCACACCCCCCAGGACAAATGGGAACCGGCCCCACCAGACTGCGCCAGAAACTGCTACCTCGCTGGTCAGGGCCATACAAGGTGGTAAACAAGCTCTCACCCGCGGTGTATCAGATCGAAATCACCAAAGGTAGGAGAGAAACCACCCTCAAATGGGTACATCGCAACCAAATCAAACCACACAAACCAAGCCCCATGGGACAGGTAGGGCACACCGCAAACCCCAGTTAGGAACATACCACGTGACCTCAAACACGATCAGCCCAGCACTCACTAACACGCTTCTCGGCTGCACTAATCGACTCTCTCTTTCTCTGTCTCTGTCTAACCCCTAACCGTTGTTTCACGCCTTGCAGAACATGTGGCCCACTTTCCTTCTCGTGCTGACCTGCATACTGGGTCTCGGCACCCCAGAAATTATTGACGGACGTCCGACTCCACACACAGCGAATCTTTGTCAGACTCAATCCTAGTGAAGTCTGCCGCAAGAACCTGCCCTTGAAGGTCACACTCAAAGATTGGGCAGGCGCACGCTGGATCCAGACGGTCGTGGAGCACGCTGAGGCAGACATACAACACATGCTGACGCAACTAGAGAAGTTCACGATCACTAGGACAGAGCTCAGTGACCCTCGCCCCAGACCCAAACGATTTATTGGGGCTCTCCTCGGCGCGGCGTCCGCCCTGGGCACCCTCTTTAGCTTAGGGATGTCCACGGTAAACGCCATCAGCCTATCCTCCCTCAGACGCCACCAACAAGAAATGGCCTTTGAGCTCGAGGATGTCAAAACCAGACTTGACCAACAACAGAACGACGTGGTAACCTTGGGAAAATCCCTGAAAGGAACCATGCTAGTACTTAACACGCACGAGGTTGCGATTAAACGCACCTCCGCTGCGGTCAACCAACTCTTAGACGTCCTCCAACTAGACTACGCCCATACTCAGCTGACCACACAACTGATGGAGGACATGTTACGTCACCTCAGCTCCTCCATCGAAAACCTAGCCATGGGCCGTATCCCGCCATACCTCGTGCCGCTATCGCTAGTTGAGGACATCCTAGCCGTAGCCACACGGGACGCTGTAACACCCATGCAAGCCCACTTAGCGTACACGCTGGGCGCTGCAGTCCCCATCTATGTTAATCCTCTAGACCGCGAGGTAGCCTTCCTAGTCACCTTACCAATAGTTCCCGGCGACAAAATCTACCGTCTGAAAGGGATCACTAACCTAGGGACCTGGAGGGACAATGCCCACGTCAGAGTCCAGACGCCAGACATAGTAGCCTACCACGACAGCAACCCCAATTTGTACCTAACGCCAAATCTAAGGATGTGCACCCTCACTAAGGACATCCATTACCTCTGCCCCAGCAAACCTTTCGTCAGGGACAGCACAGATGGCATCTGCGGCCTGAGGCCCATGACTCCAGGGAGTCGATGCCCCGCGACGGTCACCTCTCGGAAGCAAATAACCGAAACCAGAGCAGAGATTGTAGGGGCACGATGGCTAGTGAACACTCCCCTTAGAACGGCGACCCTGACCTATGACAAACATGACACCTCGTCCCGAGTAAGTCTCCCGGACGAAACCTTCTGGGTCAACGTCCCAACCGACGCCATCCTGCACATAGGCGACCTGGCACTATACCACCTGTACCCAAACCAGTACGAGGCAGAGGTCGAGATACCAGAGTTCTTTGAGAAAAGGGCCTTGGAACTTCAACCCTCTACCCTAGTCCAAGCCACCTACGAGGGGGCACAAACCGTTGACGTTACGGTCGTAGACAACCTCCTTCAAGAGATTGCCAAGCGACCGACCATCCACCACCAACCAGTAGCCTACTCCTGGGCCGCCCCCGATACAGTCATGGCCATCGCGGTAGGACTCGGGTACGGCCTGGCCGTAGCCACGGTCTTCGTCCTAAATAGACGGGTTAGACGACTCCGTGATAGCTTTAACAGGTGCACGGAGGCAATGACGAGACAGATCCGTAGACGACCAAACCGGGGCGACAGCGCCGTCGAGCGTGGCAATTTGAGTCGGCGCCCCCAGGTCAACGAGTCAGAGTACGAGGACCTCCAAAGTCACCCACTCGAGACGGTCACTCTTTCTATCACGGAAGGTGAACCAAGGGCCTAAAACCCCACTAAGAGTCACCAGCTCAGACCCAACCAATCTACCTCGATGCCTAATCAGTCTCCTAGACAATCATACCTGTCATCCCCGTTTATGTACAGGAAATGTCCCTCGTAATTAAAGCCCCACTTGCTACGTCATATATTCGTGTAACCCTTACACTCCCCTTTTAGAACGAGCAAGATAGGAGCCCCTCACCATCGAGTGCCTCAATGACGCTCCTACCCGCTGCCAAGACAGCCACCCCCTTTTTTGATTTTTGAAGTTTCCTATTTTTGTATCCTAGTCCCCTAGAGTAGAAACTCCTGCCACTCTCTTGGCTTGGAACTTTGAGTCTTCCAGACCAAGAGACCCAGGAGTCAGGCGCACCGGCCCAAACCTTAGAGTTCACGGCCGGAGCTCACTCCCTAAACCCCTGATCCCGGTTAGAACTAGCCTGCAGGGCCAGGACTCGCCTTAGAGAAAGCCCGGCCTCGACAGACCAAGCCAGAGGCCCGAGACCCAACCGCCACGAGCCTGGCCCCAGTTAGGCGCTTGCGAATTACTGAGTCACATTAAGGCGAGAATGTTGTAACATGTCACCACAAATCACGCACTAACACCCGAACAGGCGAGATGACCGACGGAGGACGCCCACTCGGCACATCCGACATGACATGCACCTTGTCGGAAGGTGCATCTCTGCCGTGGGGGGGGGTATGTAGGGTGAGGAAAAGGTGAGCGCCAATCGGGTGTGAATAACAGACCCTTTCCGTAAACATGCCCTCCCTAGCTCCTGAGACTTCAAAGCAATTCAATTGAAGGTTAACATTCACCAGGAACACTACAACGAGACCTAGAGGGGCAATAAAACAACAGAACAGGACATCTGTGTGCCCCCCTGCCAGACGGAGATCAGGAATCATTCATCAGCAATCGCTCATGAGACATTCCACAACCTGAGACTCTCCCACGGCGCTCTGGCGCTCCCTAGCGGACACTGGACACTACTGCACCCAAGGCGGACACTCGAAAAGGACATTACTCTGTAATATTATGTCGATAACATTACGGACCTTACTCGTGTGTGTTGATGTCTGTGATGTAAATGCACTGTGTGTTTGTACATGTGTTATGATCATCTGTATTAATCCTGTGTGTTCCCACTATAACCCATTTGTTGTGGGGAGGCAGCCCAAGGAAGACGCGCAAATATGACGTCACGGGCGCGCCCACTTTGACCACAACAAAACCAGCCCGCAAACCTAGAGACTGCCTCTTGTCCTCTCCTGAAATCACTATCCCAGCTCTCCCTGGCCATCTGCGTCCCGCGGTACGTGTCTCCAATACGGCCGCGCCAGCACGCGTCGGGCCTCCTACTCCGCAAAACACACTCTCCTTGGCTCGGGACCTTATGAACTGTTCATCACCAGCCTCTTTTTCGTGGCTCTGGACTCTACGCACGCAACCCATTCCGGACTGGGCTGCATACGCGTGGATCAGCAGCTGGACCAACTCGCTGGCTTTGTACCTCCCGCCTGCCCAGACAAAGAAACCACGTGGGCTGATTCCCCAACCCAAATCCTTCCTCCATCCTCTACGCTCCTACAAAGTAAGACTGTTCTTGTTAAATGTGTGATCTGAATGAAATGTATACCACTCCTGCTTTAATGTGACCAGAAATCCCCTTCGTTATATTTTTACCTTCATTTTGTAATCAATAAACCCCTTTTCTTTAACTCAATCCTATCAGAGTCGTGTTGTTAGATTTCGGTATATCCCTGGCAGATTATCCTACTCAACCCATTAGATTTATAAGACTGAATCGAGGCAAAGATTTGGTTTGTGTCTGTGCAGACTTCTAACTCTGCTGGTGCCCAAAATAAAAACAGACCCACACTACCAAATTTATACAACAACATAATCAGCAATATAAGTAGTTACCCTACGCTTCTGTGAGGATAGCATCATTCCAACAAGGACCAGGGTCATCTATAACAACGACAAACCCTGGTTCACTGCTAAACTCCGGCAGCTCAGGAAAGCAAAGGAGTCTGCTTTCAGGGAGGGGGACCGCAGCGGCTACAAAGCAGCTAAATATCAGTTCAGGAAAGAACTGAAAGCAGCCAAGTCTCGGCACAGAGAACGACTACAGGAGCAGTTTGGTAACAACGATACTGCTTCTGTCTGGAGGGGCCTATGGGAGATCACCAACTACAAGCCCAAAGCCCCCCCCTGTGCTGACGACCACAAGCTAGCTGACGAACTGAACTTATTTTTCAGTCGCTTTGATGCTGCCCCTGACACCTCTCCCTCCCCCACCCCCCACTACTCTAACGACCCACCCATCAGCCCTGCCCCCAGCCTAACAATAGCCTCTAAAGAGATTAAACAACTCTTCTTGAGGCTACACCCCCGCAAAGCTCCTGGCCAGGACCACGTGTCTCCGGCCACTCTGAGATACTGCGCCAGTGAGCTTACTCCTGTGTTCACTGACATTTTCAACACCTCTCTGCAGTCCTGCCATGTCCCGGCCTGCTTCAAATCGTCCATCATTGTCCCCGTCCCGAAGAAGCCCAGGATCACAGGACTCAATGACTACAGACCTGTAGCACTTACGTCTGTCGTCATGAAGTCATTTGAACGCCTGGTTCTCTCCCATCTCAAGTCCTTCACCTCCCACCTCCTGGACCCCCTGCAGTTCGCCTACAGAGCCAACAGATCTGTAGACGACGCCATTAACCTGGCCCTCCACCACATCCTACAGCACCTGGACTCCCCGGGGACCTACGCCAGGGTCCTGTTCGTGGACTTCAGCTCTGCCTTCAACACAATCCTGCCATCCCTGCTCCAGGACAAGCTCTCCCAGCTCAACGTGCCCGATTCCACCTGCAGGTGGATCACTGACTTCCTGACGGACAGGAAGCAGCGAGTGCGTCTGGGGAAGAATATCTCGGACTCTCGGATTATAAATACAGGAGCCCCACAGGGCTGTGTTCTTTCTCCCCTGCTCTTCTCCCTGTACACCAACCACTGCACCTCCAGCCACGACTCCGTGAAGCTGATCAAGTTCGCGGACGACACCACCCTCATTGGACTCATCTCCAACAACGATGAGTCCGCCTACAGGAGGGAGGTGGACCGGCTGGTGTCCTGGTGCAGTGGTAACAACCTGGAGCTGAACGCCCAGAAGACAGTGGAGATGATTGTGGACTTCAGGAAGAGCACTGTCCCCCCGCCCCCACCCTCCGTGATGGACTCCCCCATCACCTCTGTGGAGTCCTTCCGTTTCCTGGGCACCACCATCACCCAGGACCTCAAGTGGGAGCCGACCATCAGCTCCCTCATCAAGAAGGCCCAGCAGAGGATGTACTTCCTGCGGCAGCTCAGGAAAGCCAAGCTGCCTGCACAGATGTTGGTGCAGTTCTACACGGCCATCATCGAGTCCATCCTCATCTCCTCCATCACTGTGTGGTTCGCTGGAGCCACAGTCAGGGACAAACAGAGACTACAGCGCATTGTGCGCTCTGCAGAGGAAGTGATCGGCCGCAGCCTTCCATCGCTGCAGGTCCTGTACGTCGCCCGAGCTCGAGGCCGGGCTGGTCGTATCACAGCCGACCCCTCTCACCCTGCACATGGACTATTCCAACCACTCCCCTCAGGCAGGAGGCTGCGGTCCATCAGGACTAGAACCTCCCGCCACAAGAACAGTTTCTTCCCCTCCGCTGTTGGACTCTTGAACACTTCTTAACCTGTCCCCCCGCCCTTTATAAAGTCACTTTACTGCCCATCATACGTCTCTTTACTTCACTGTACTGCTGTCACCTTACATTGTGTGCACCATGTGCACTTGTATATTGTAAATAGTAACTGTAACTCTATTTTAAATTTAAATTTATTCTTTAGAAGTTTTTTATTCTTATTTTTATTATCTATTTCTGACTGTTGCACTGAGCCAAAGCAATTTCCAAGTCTGTGACCTCCTGTTACTTACGTGGCAATAAAAATGATTCTGATTCTGATACAACTTCAGTCATTCCATGATCCATGTGTGTGGCATTGAGTCGTAGGCTTTCTGGTAATCAAGCCAGGCTGTGCACAGGTTGGTGTGTTGTGACCGGCAGTCTTGGACGACTGTTCTGTCAACCAGGAGCTGGTGTTTGGTTCCTCTGGTGTCTACCAATTGATGGCCTTGATGCCAATATAAAGAGGCAAGGCAAGGCAAGTTTATTTGTATAGCACAATTCATACACAAGGCAACTCAAAGTGCTGAACAAAATAAGAAAGCATTCAAATCATAAATAATCACAATACATTAAAAAGAAAAAGATAAACATATAAAATGTACAATCCCTCAGTTGTATGCACAGCTAAACAGAACTGTTTTCAACCTTGTCTTAAACATTGTCAGAGAGGAGGCCTGTCTCACATCTTCAGGAAGATTGTTCCAGATTTTTGCAGCATGAATCTGAAAAGCAGCCTCCCCATGTTTAGTTCTGACTCTGGGCACTAACGGGAGTCCAGTCCCTGTGCTCCTCAGAGTCCAGGCTGTTTTTGATCCCGGCCATGTTTTTTAGGTGGTAAAAAGCTGCTGATGTTACTGATTTAATGTGGCTATTAAAATTTAAGCTGAGTCCAGAGTCTAGTCTCTGTAAGAGGATCTCATGGTCGACAGTGTCAAAAGCTGCACTCAGATCTAACAAGATTAAGATTGAGACTTTGCCTGCGTCAGTGTTCAGCCGAATATCGTTTGTTACCTTGATGAGGGCAGTCTCAGTGCTGTAGTGGGGTCTAAAGCCGGACTGAAACATATCAAATGAGTTATTGATTATATAGTTGGTAGACAACTTTTTCAAGAACTTTCCCCATAAATGGCAGATTTGAGATGGGACGATAGTTGTTAAGTACCGTAGCATCCAGTCTGCTCTTTTTTAGTAGGGGCCTGATGACTGCAGTTTTCAGGGCCTTTGGGAATATTCCAGAATGCAGGGACATGTTTACTATCTGTGTGAGTGAAGGTGACAGACTGCTACATCCAGGCTGCAAGTGGAGGAGCTCAGACTTGTGATTATCTCTTGGACAGTTTGATCATTTACAGGTGCAAAGTGAGTTAGCTCAGAGAGCCTTCCTGGCTGTTGGATTGTTATCTCTGGATTGGAGACAATGGCGTTTTTGATGCATTGAACTTTGTCATTGAAAAAATGACTTCTGCTTATTTTTCACTATTTTAACATTCACAGGAGCGATGGTGTCCAGAACATTCAAAAACAGTTCATCTACAGTAGAACATGATGCATTTTCAAAGTTTATCATTCCCATAAATATTTCACCCGTAATTTCATTTATGCGTCTTCTTCAAACAACTGCAGCGTCTTCTGGTGGTTTGTTAGTGAAACACATGTCAAAAAATACACAAAAATGATCCGAAAGAATGTTTATTTTTACAATATTCACCCCCTTAGTAACTAACAGGTCTAGAGTGTGCCCTCTGCTGTGGGTGGGGCCACTCACGTGCTGAGTGAGACCAAAGGATTCAAGTAAAGAACTCAGCTCTTTTGCATTTCTGTCATTAACATTATCCACATGAATATTACAATCACCTGTAATAACCAAACTATCGAAGGCTGTGCATAGAACTGAAATCAACTCGGTAAAGTTATTTTGTTGCATTTTAAAAGACACGAATTCCAATGACGGAAACTTCTCAGGAGACATTTTACGTGAGACAAATTGGTCTATAAAAATTGCAGCTATGCCTCCTCCCTTTTTGTTTTCCAGAATTTCCGATTCAAATTTGAAATTTGGTGGTGATGCTTCTATTAAGACTGCATTTTCTGTATTTTGTTCAAGCCATCTTTCAGCCATGAACATAAGATCAAGATTATGAGAACAAATAAAATTATTGATTAAGAAAAGAGACTTCCGGTGTGACCTCGGAGCAATGTAGTCCACGTTTTTTGAGCGCTACCACATTTACCTTAAAACTAATCGACAAGTTGAAGCTGATGAACGGTGAAGGGCACGAGTGCTGGGGTAACTTTGCTACGTTGGAATTATTTATTGTTTTGGATGTATTGACACTTTTGTCGTCTCGCGACCATGACGAAACCCAGAGCTAAAGCTAATGCTAACGGCGCTGATGGAGGTAATGCTAGTAACTCCGGTGGAGGCAATGCTAATGATTCCGGGGAAATTTCGGGGCAGTCCGCTATATTGCAAGCAATTGACACTTTAAGGACCGAGAAGATTGAGGAGAAAGCGGAGATGCAGAAAGACGAGCTGGCCAAGCAAATCAGCGGACTGAGGGATGAGCTAATGGCGTCCATTGACCAGGCTAACAACAGAGTTGGCATGCTAGATGAGCGCACAGCTAGCCTGGAGGAGGCCGTGAATATGCATTCCAATAAGATGGCTGATCTGGAGCAACAAGTTGTTGGATTGAAGAAAGAGTTGGAGGGCTTATTGGCGAAAACGGAAGACCTAGAAGCGAGATCCCGGAGATGCAATTTGCGCATTTTCGGGGTTAAAGAAGGCCAGGAAACGGGAGCAAGAGTTAGTACTTATGTGGCGGAACTTTTGCAATACGTGTTCAAACTGGATACTGAACCCGTCATAGACCGGGCACACTGCACGCTACAGAAAACCCCGGACAAGGGCCACCCACCAAGGGCTTTTGTCGTAAAGTGCCACTACTACCAAGAGAAAGATGCCATCCTGAGGAAAGCTCTTGCGTCCCAAAGGCTGGTTTCTAAAGACGGGGATACTGTCAGAGTGTTTCCGGATTACACCCACAACGTAGCACGACAGAGAGCAGCATTCATCCAGGCAAAACAACTTCTGAGGCAGTGTGAAGGAGTGAAATACGGACTTCTATATCCAGCGAAACTGAAGATTACGACCGGAGATGGAGAACAAAAGATGTTTACAGACCCGATGAAAGCTACAACGTTTGCAAGAGGACTGTTGGATCGGTAGTGTACACAATGTGGGATGACACACATAACATTGTGTCTATTAAGTTGGGGACAATGTATTCAAAGGTTTATTGCACTACTGTCAAGTGAAGTTTGGTACTTAAAAGTATACATTATCTTGTTTTTATATATATTGTTTTGGGTATGTTGCATTTAGTTGAAAAGGTTATTTGGCTTAATATTTTCAGTTATCCCTTTCAGCTAGGTATTATTATTTTACTTTCATTATTATTCTCTCTGGGAATGTGTTCGTACTGTTCAATCTGCACGTGGCTTATTGGGGGTGAGTTTACTTGTTGATATATCAGTATAGTTTAAATTGAGAATTCGGTGTTTAAGGTTATGGGCGACAGTAGCTCAGTTGGTAGAGCATTGGCCTTAAGGCCAGAAGGTCGTGGGTTCAATTCCCACCTCTGCACCTTCTCCACCGACTCCCACTGATGACTGCTGTCGTTGTGTCCTTGGGCAAGACACTTAACCCCACTTTGCCCAAAAGCCCCCACTGAAAGATCAAGGCTATGCTCACACTCAGAGAGCAGCCGTCCTCCTGTGGACTCACCACCTGCAGAGGGTCAGTGAGGGGCTGGTGCTATGAGACTTGGGTGGCATCTCTGATTGCCACCCCCCTGACCCAGAAATGGATTAAAGGGTAGAAAATGGATGGATGGATGGTGTTTAAGGTTTATGTGGGGCCTCAGCCACACTAGTTAGTGTTTAGTTGGTTCTAATGCTTGGTAGTGGGGTCTAGGAGGCAGGGGGGGGTGCAGTCTCTCAATTGGGGAGGGACCGGCAGAAATGGGTTAAGTTCATGGGGGGAAGTTTGTTTTTTCTTTTTGCAACGTTTTTGTCTATTTTTCTTTCTTTTTTTTTTTATGTTTTTGCAGGGTTCGAATCACCATTTTTCTGTCAAGCAAATACATCCTGTTTCTATAAAGTCTCATGGGTTCATGATCAGACCGTCAACTAAGTTTGTGAGTTGGAATGTTCGAGGTCTTAACCATCCGGTGAAGCAGAGTAAAGTGTTTTCACATCTGGGCAAACTTAAAGCAGAGGGAACCTTTTTGCAGGAAACGCACCTTCGCACTAAAGACATTGTAAAGTTAAAAAGAGGATCTATATCTCAGGTCTTTCACTCGGAATTAGATTCAAAATATCGTGGGGCAGCTGTTTTAATTGGTAAACATGTACAATTTACACTAAACAAGGTCCTAGGAAATAAAAAATGGCCGCTTTGTTATTGTACAAGGAAGGCTATACAATATGCCAGTTGTTTTGATCAGTGTGTATGCTCCCAACTGGGATGACTCCAATTTTTTTAGACAACTACTGGGTCGTATCCCGGAGCTGGGCACACATCGCCTGATAATGGGAGGAGATCTTAACACAGTTCTTAATCCATCACTTGATCGATCCAGAATATCAACAGCGCCTCTCTCCAAATCTGCTACTGAACTAAATACCTTCTGTCAATCTGCCGGAGTTTTTGATCCATGGAGATTTAAAAATTCCAATTCCAAAATGTTCTCCTTTTTCTCTGCAGTCCATCAGACGTACTCAAGGATAGACCTTTTCTTGTTAGACCAGAATTTACTTTCATCAGTTAAGTCTTGCGATTATGAAAGTATAGTAATTTCAGATCACGCACCTGTTACTTTAGAACTCTGGCACCAGAGCACAGTGCCGCCTCAATGTAACTGGCGACTGAACGCATCTTTGTTAACTGATGAAGCTTTTGTGGATTTTATAGCAAAACAAATAGATTTTTTTCTTGAGACTAATCGTTTACCAGATACGGATGTTTTCACTTTATGGGAAACATTAAAAGCGTATATCAAGGGCCAAATAATAGCGTACACTGCACGCCTAAACAGAACTAGATCTAAAAGATTTACTGAGCTAATTAAATTAATAAAGGAGACCGACCAGCAGCACTCATCTTCACCCACATCTGATCTTCGTAATACAAGAATAGCATTACAGACAGAATTTGACCTTCTAGCTTCTAAGGAAGCTAGTGAGAAGTTTTAGAAAACTAGGCAGAACTGTTACGAACATGGAGAACGGGCAGGTAGATTACTTTCTCATCAACTACGTCAGTATTCCTCTGCCAATTTTATTGCGGAAATCCAAGACTCAGATGGAATAATGAAGTCTGATCCTAAAGATATAAATGATCAGTTTAAGAGTTTTTATACATCTTTATTAGGGCTGTCAAAATTATCGCGTTAACGCACGTTAATTAATTGTTTTCATTAATCGCGTTATAAAAAATTAACGCATTTGACGCATGCCCATGCGTCCCATAATAACACGGACACATGCGTGTGTAAGATGGGGACAGAGCAGGTAGGCCCTCTGGGAATTCAAGTTTTGAAAGAATACACGCGTGACCGCGGGGCACTTGTGGTTTCCTGTATGAACTCTGGATGAAGAGGTGCGGACGTGACAGCGCTCTGGACAGCAGTTCCCACCTCCAGCGGCTGTGATCACGGCGAACGGCGCTGTGTAATGGGATCATATCCAAGACCACGCACAGAACTATTCTCTAGTGTGCGTACGTGTCTTTGCGTAACCGATGCACACGATATGTACAGCGCTGAAGCTGGACTGCAGAGCCTCAGTCTCCTCCGTGTCTTCTCCCGAAGCGCACTCGCTAAATTAAAGCTGAGGTACCTAATTTTCCTTTTGACTACCTGTTCATAGTTGTGCCAAAAAAAGTAAATAAACAAACCAAATAAACAATCAAAGAGATTTAATGACATTCTGCCTTTCAGACTATTTTGAAATGTCCCTCATCTGTAACAAACAATAGTTTTGGTCTGAGTCTAAACAGAAAGACAGAATGTTAATCATGTTAATGCCATTTTATATGGATTTATTGTTATAACAAACAAATACAGTACATATGTTCACTATGCTGTCATTTATCTTTCCATTCAAACAACAATTTACATAAAAATATGGCATAATTTTGCCAATAGTTTGAAATGCGATTAATTTATTTTTAAGCTGTAATTAACTTGATTAAATTGTTTTATCGTTTGACAGCCCTAATCTTTATATACCTCGGGCGGCTCTAGCAGTGAAGATTTTTTTGGTAATATACACGTCCCTGTAATAAATGAGGAAGATAGGAATGCTCTTGAGCAGACAATATCTGAAGTTGAGATTGGAAAGGCTATTAAAGTTATGAATAATAGAAAGGCACCTGGCCGGGACGGATATCCGATTGAATTTTACAAGGCTTTTGCCACCAAGTTGATCCCCCTACTGTCCTCTGTGTTTAGTGAAGCACTTAAACGAAAGAAGCTTCCTGACTCAATGACTCAAGCCACAATTTCTGTACTTCCCAAAAAAGGAAAGGATCCTTCTAAATGCGAGTCTTATCGTCCAATTAGCCTACTCACATGTGATTATAAGATCCTCACAAAAGTTCTTTCCACTAGACTGGAATTGATTATCCCAAAAATTTTACATCCAGATCAAACAGGATTTGTGAAGGGCAGGCAGTCATTCCATAATCTGAGACGCCTGTTTAATATAATATATTCAAAACAGACCAATGGACCCCGATAAATGAACAGGCGAAGAAGCTTTCGATCGTATCCCTTTAAAAATGCATCTGGGCCTATGACATATCTTGGTGTTAATGTTACCAGCAGTTATAAAGACCTGTTTCAGGCTAATTTCAAAATCTACTCGAACAGATTAGGGAAGATCTTAATCGGTGGTCCTCTTTGCCAATCTCCTTGGCAGGGCGTATTAATTCAGTAAAAATGGTAATCTTACCGAAGATTTTATATTTATTTCAAACTGTCCCTATTTTTTTACCCAAGTCTTTCTTTAAGGAACTGGACCAATACATCAGTAACTTTATATGGAATAAAACTATACCCCGAGTACGGAGAGCTGTTCTTGAGAGGCGCAGGGAGAATGGTGGATTGGGTTTGCCAAACTTTTTGTATTATTATTGGGCTGCAAACATTTCCAAAGTGATCATTTGGTTTGATATTAGTAGAAGTAATGATAGCCCAAGCTGGGCTGTAATGGAACAGCACGCCTGTCCTTCAACGTCTTTGGCTTCCCTTTTGTGTGCCCCATTGCCGGTGGCAGTGGGTGTACACACTGATAATCTTATAGTTAAAGCCAGTCTACGTATTTGGACCCAATTTAGGAAGCACTTTAAATATATTTAGCCTCTTATATCAATGCCCCTTGTTAAAAACTTTCTTTTCAAACCATCTTTACTGGACAAAGCCTTCCTCGTATGGGACCGAAATGGCATTAAAAGCGTGGGTGATCTGTTTATAGATGGCAATTTTGCCACTTTCGAACATTTAGTCAGGCAATTGAATTTACAGAGATCAAGTTTTTTCAGATACCTGCAAGTACGAGATTTTGTGCGTACTAGGTTCCCGATATTCCCTCTCAAGCCGGACATGTGTCCTTTGGACGAATGCCTGGGGCTTGGGCTCCGGGGTGTTTGTGGTGTATCGCAGCTCTATAGATTCATCCAAGCCACTAACACTGTGTCACTTCTTTCTCTTAAATCCAACTGGGAGGAGGACCTAAACATTGTAATAACAGACGAAATTTGGCAGAGGTCTATAAATAATATATATACGTCATCATTCTGTAGACTGATACAATTCAAGGTATGCATTTGTCTAGGACTAGGTTGGCAAGAATATATCCAAACATAGATCCTACATGCACACGCTGTCATCAGGCCCCCGCCTCGCTGGCTCATATGTTTTGGTCGTGCCCGAATTTACACACATTGTGGTCGGAAATCTTTAATACATTCACTATTATTTGTAAGAAAAGGATTGAAGCGGACCCTATCACCGCAATATTCGGAGTGGTACACAGGACAACTGTTTCAAAAGCCCAAGCATGGTTGATAGCATTCTCCACACTCCTGGCACGCCGGTTAATACTGACGAACTGGAAGGCATCCATACCTCCAAAACATTCACGTTGGGTCAGTGATTCAATGTC